ATTCCTCTTTTCCTTGTTTTCCTTTTTCTTCAGGTGTTATAGCAACAAATGACTACATACTCGAACCAAAATTTGCTTCAAGAATTTTTTCTTTTTGAGAGTAAAATTGTAGTCATTTCATGCAAATATGACAGGGTGTGCTTTTGCCTTTTCAATACAACAATTTATACTTGTATAATACTGGAAATTTTCAAATTAAAGCTTTATATTATTATTAAGTATCATACAATCTAAACTTAACTAAAGAATCAATGGAATATCAATGGAATCTTTGAAACAAAGTATGATAGTACAAGTCTTGTATGCATACAAACAATGGAGGATTTTAAACTAAAACTCTAAAAGATATAAGGGGTTAAGTTTTGAACTTTATAGATATTTAACTATTGAAAAATAACAATGATCTTAAATAAACATGATATTGACCCTACATAACTTTTGTAAAAGCTTGTTACATGCAATTAAACAATGAACAATTAAATGAGTTAACATCAAACAATAGGCGAGTTCGACTTACAAATTTTAATTTACACAAATTTATATGGGCCAATTGATGAAAGCAACATACTATGATATATGTACATAATAATATTTTGTATAATTTAAAAACATATACTCCCTGTGTTTCATAATACTTGATACAATTCTCATTTTTGCCTATCCTATAATACTTGATATATTACTGAATGTGAAATGGGACTACTAATAAAAATATATTTTCCCACATTTTCTCTCCTTGCCTATCCCATTTCCACCCCACTTCTTGTTTTCTTGTAATATAAAAAAATAAAAAGAGAATCTTCTATATATAATAAACAAAAGTTTTTAATAGACCTACTTGTACTTTCTTAAACTACGTGTCCACATTAACGTCCCAAAAAAATAGGACGGAGGGAGTATTAAAGGATGGAGGGAGTATTATTTTAGAATGAAATTTTTGATTGTAGTCGATGATTGTGAGTTATAAAATATTTGTAATTTTTTTTTGTTTTTTTGAATGAAAAATAAATTTGCAATGTTATACTCCCTTTGTCCCTCTTTTTTTTCCCCATAGTTAATTTTTGGATCAACTTTTAATAACTTTGACCACAAATTCCCATTAATGTATAAGAAATAATATAGTCAAGTGGGATATTGTTGGATTCGTCAAGAATACATTTTATTAATATCAAGTTTTTATAATTTTACAATTATAGATCTTGAGATATATACGTTTTAACACGCGTCTCAAAGACCGTGAAAAAAGTCCAATTGAACAAAAAAAGTAGAGACAGAGGTAATACTTATTGCCACCGATGTATCCGAGATATCTTCTAACACCCTATTCCACCCAAAAAAAATATTATGAGTCAGACAAATAAAGATTGAATGCATATCAATCTATAGATCTACTTGTACTTTGTATATGACAATAATTGGTATTAAATTTACCTCCAAAGGATTGCATGGATACATTAGCCCATTTAAGACAATTCAATGATGCTACTTGCAAAAACCTTGAGTGATGATTGCATGTCCTAAAATTAATTTAATTAAATATATCAGGTAGTTGTAATTATTCTATATAAGATCAATATCAAAACGAATAACAAATTTACTTTGCCGCCATCAAAAGTAGATATACAATGTAAACATGGACTGACATTGTAAGTTTGCAATATTTTATATGATATATCATGTTGTAAGGTTCGATACTGGTGGAAATATTGTATCGTTTCCAAAACTAACCTTGGCGCATGACTAACTCTAAACAAATCTATTAATTAAATAAACAAGTATTGGTTTAAATGGATGTAGTGCATTAATTTAGTGCCTGCTAATTCCATGATTTGGTTGCATTTGGTTCTAAACCTCGCACACATACAAGTTTCGATGCGTCATCTGTTTTATGGCACGAATCTCCTTGAAATACAAAAATTGCATGCACAATACCTCTTAAAATGTTAGTGTCTAGAGCTTGAACTCTCTCTGTTCAACCTTCATTTAAAAGAGTGTTGAACCACTTGTTATATTAAGCCGCAAGCTTATAAATACTAGCTCATTAAAGGTCAATAAAAGACTACACAAAAATTATATATAATTATCAAATAATATTATAAGAAGAAAAAGCATGGTGAAATTTAAAAAAAATAATCACTCAATTTATGATTTTCCGCAATTGGTAAAAACATTTCGAGATTATTAAGACTATAAGGTTACGTTGTGTAGCAATTTTCTTGATTATATCCCAGGATTGTTATATTCTATTATATCATTTTTTATTTAAAGACTGTATATAATGATATAAAGTAAGAAGTGTGGTGAATCTTAAACTAAAAGGTATAAGGGATTAAATTTTGAACTTTAACTTCATATTAAAATTATAGATATCTAGCTATTGACAAATAATAATGATTTGTGTAAAGTCAAGTTTAAAGCAATTGGGTCAATTGACTCCACAATAACTCTATTAGTTACATGAAATTAAAAGATTGATAATTAATTTACTTAACATGAGGAAACAATATGCAATTTTGATTTACAAATTTAGTTAATACTAATTTATATGGGCAATAGATAAAGGCAACATATTAAGATATATGTACAATGTATGTACAATTATATAATATTTCGTATAATTTAAAAACATGTATTTTTCTGGAATGAAATTTTGGAGTGAATAACTTTGAGTCATGAAATAAAATTTAAATGTTATTATAGTCATTGCCAAAGATGTATCTGAGATGTCTTCCAACACCCTAATCCATCACTACAAAAAAACAAGGCACATTTTGACACTTTTTTGTACATATATTGACCTTAAAAAGTGTCATAATTTTCTATTTTGACGCTTTAAAAAGCGTCAAAATTTTTGAAGCCAAAATATTTTGACGCTTTTTTGTGTCAATTTATAAGTATAATATGTTGCTTTTGTGTGTCATCCAAAATTATATTATGACACTTTTTTGTGTCATTACTAAAAAAATTATGACACTTTTTTGAGTCATTACTATCAAATTATGACACTTTTGTGTGTCAAATTGGGGGCCGTATTTCCCACCATTACTAATGTCCAAAAACTTGTGACGCTTTTGTTAGTCATTTTTAAAAAAGTTGTGACACTTTTGTGTGTCAAAATGATGATATATTATTTCCAACAATTTAAATACCACCAAAAACTTTGATTTATAAAAGCGTCACTATTTCCCCCTTTTTTTTGGACGAAAATTGATAAAATTAAATTAATGAAGTACTTGTATAAAACTGTAAACAACCAAAATAATAATAATAATAATAATAATAATAATAATAATAATAATAATAATAATAATAATAATAATAATAATTAATATATAAAATCATAATTGATGAAAATGTATTTACAAAAAGTAACATATATATATATAAAACACACACACATATATATATATACATTATATATAGATATTTTCCTAAAAAATATTTTCCTAAAAAAGATGTCCAAACTAATTACACACAACGCTATAAAAGCTACTAAATACCCACACATATATATAATAAGAGTGCTTGAAGCCAAATCACGCTCTTCATTTACTTTTTACCATTGCTGCCTACATCATCAACCTGCGAAAAAAATTTGATATGTGAACAATTATTGTAGTAGTAGTACTGCAAAATTAGAGAAGTTAAACAGAAAATATTTGCCATAGAGGAACGTAAACCAAGCACATAACTGTCTAGTGATACGCCTAGCTAACAAGAATTTTTGTACTAAATAGTCACTTTCTTGCACAACACAAGTAATTAACCCATTGCTATTAAAGGCGGTATGTGCTCGGCTAATAACAAATGACATTCCTATTCAAATATTAAGGATAAAGATAACAAACTGCAAAATGTCTGCTCAATATGGTCTAAGTATTACCTGCCCTTTTAATATGAGAAAACGACAAATCAGAAAAAGAAGCAGCAAATTAGCAATGGATAAAATATCATCTAACAGCAAACTAAAGGTATCAATCCCCTGCATTCGCTGCTTGAGACGACGTACAACAAGCTGGGCATCGCTTTCAATAATCACTCTACTGTACCCCAACCTGCACGCCAAGAGCAGCCCATACCTGCAAGCAGCAGCCTTGTAGCTTGGCCAATGTGAGCATCACAATTAATTTTAACCCAACCAACCCTCGGCACTTCCACGAAGACACAACAGGAGTGAGCATTGCAGGGGGCTTGAACACCCTACTAGCATACTCCCCATAATCAGTAACATACTTCATCATTCTCGCAGCAACCATAAGTAATTTTTTAATTATTAATAAATGGTGAATATTTTTTTACTGTATTCTTTATCAATCTAGCTATATAAAATGACTAACTTTCAAACATTTACCTAAAACGTACTAACTTGCCTCTAACTAACACCACTTCTCCCTAATCGAACCTAAAACCACCTAAAATAGCAATCCTGCAATGAAGTGGATGAAAAAAAGGTGCATAAGGCATTGGTACGTCGACACCAGCAATCCTCACAATAGGTGCATCAACATATTCAAAGCTATCCTCAATAATAGATGTACGTCAAGAACATCAGAGTATGTGAACAGGTGTAGCAAATCAAGCAACTCAAGGAGATCAAGAGAAACAGAAAACTCACATCAGCCTTAATAATTTCAGGTAAGCTGACACACTTGTTTATGTAGTTCTGCTCTTATAGTCTTATTCAGCATCAGTATTATTTATTGATCTTAGAAAATTTTAAGTGGGTCAGAAAAATTTGCAATGTGGTGTTATAGTAGAGTCAAGCAGACAGCAGGCGTTTTGTCTCGACATTTGAATAAAATTTTCTCCTACTATTTCTCAAATAAATGAGCAGAAGATGCTGAGCATCCACAATTACACGACTGGAAGTGCCTAAGTCATCAGTGATATGTGCCAACAGACTTAAAAGTTCTGACTAAAACCTTGACATGCGCAATATCCCAGATAACTTTATCCACTTTCATCTTGAACATATGAATTAAACCATCATTCTTAGGATATGTGCCTCTCAAATATTGGGTTTTATTGCTCACATTATATCATTCTGACTACAAGGAATTTACATCCCCTAAGGTAACTTCATAGTTCTGTAGCATATAGCTAAAATATTCTAATGTAGCTTTCTGTCTTGTCGTTTAAGACAAACCGAGTCTCTTGATTATATTGCTACAGAAAACCACATAATGCAAAGAAGGTGCACCAAGGAAGCTAAACCAATAATACAGAATTTAAAACCAATAATACAGAATTTAAAACCAATAATACAGAATTTAAAACCCGTACGATTCCACGGAATATAGATTCAGCCCTGAGAATCAAGTAGTTGTATTGCATTAGCTTGAGGAAATTTTAATGAAAGGAAATTTTATATCTTGCCACAGATAATGAAAGGAAATTTTTAAAAAAAAAGGAAGCGGATGAAAAAAGAAATGGTTTATTCCAAACCTGAGAATCAAGTAGTTGTATTGCATTATCTATAACTTCTGATGAAACATTTCCACTACGTGTTGCCTTCAAAACCTGTGCCATCATAGAACCAACTGCATCAAATTTTGTGTTCAATATTTGATTTTGTTTAGCAAGATCCTCATTTTGCTTCTTCATATCTAACAGTGCAACCTTCAACTTCTCCACTTCCATATCACTATTGTTGACATAGTAAGACCCTTCTTTCCTTAAATGTCCTTCCACTCCAAAGATGTCGCTTTGCTTCACACCAAAGCCATAATTTAGAGGACGCTTAGGGATCTCGCCTTGATACATAAGTTGATTGAAAACTTCATTTTCAATATCAACCTTGGAATGCAAGAAGAGGACTTATCAAGGCTTTCTTGCACCTTCTTGATTGCATCCTCCTGTTACATGATAAGAAAACTATAAGACTTGGCAAAGAGCTAATAAATTAGTGGTTAAACTAATTTTCATTGGTATATATACCACAAACTGACGAGATGTTGTGCCCTCTTTGAAGCTTCCATCTCCTTCGCTGTAAACACTTTTAAAAAACTCCAATTCACTGAAATCACCTTTTTGTTTTTTCTGCAATGTGAGAAACATACAAATATCTGACATTTAACTTCTGCTATTTTAAGTCTTTTAAATTGACGAAGTTACATTTTCTTCCAAATCTTGTAAGATAGTCAAACAGAAAAAAAAACACTAAATGCAAATTTTAGGACTAAATAAAATGAAGGATAATTATACCAAAATAGCTCTGCGATTTGCAAAGCTTTTAGCACCACTCTTGCGCACGAGAACTTGCGACGCACGAGAAGCTTTTCCGAGTTCAGACATTTTTCTGTTTATTTAAAATCATGGTTAGCATGAGATAGAAAATAAAGTTACATCACACTAAAACCACTATGATCAGAATATAACGGATTTGCTTGTGTCATTAGGTAGTGAGTTGGTCTGATGGAAGCTAGCCTCTGTTCTCACTAACACGTGTACTGTGTAAATATAATGGATTTGAGATCTCTAAACCTTATCGTGTGACTAACTATATCTGATGGGATGCAATGCTGACACAAGCAAACGACTATTGGCAACAGCAAGATAGGAAGGAGAGAATATGTAGCTTATTAGAGAGACAAAAAAGGAAAAGGGTTGTAGCATCAGCGGCGAATACAGGAGGTCCATTACTGTTGTTTCATTGTGTATACTTTACTCTTTTCTCTCTCTGATTTGTTCCTTATAAAGCTATAAGACTGTAAGTTTATAGATTTGCTGGTCATAGGTTATCGCTTATGAAGAATTAGAGGACATTGTGGGAGGAGTTGATCAGCATAAACAACATAACCACCAAAATGTTTATCACACATCTAGGATTGTTCATTTATTATATCCTACTAAAATGTTACTAACAACTTGACAACATACAAAACGGTTATACAGAGCTAATCTATAAACAAGAAATTCCCGTAAAAATCAAAATGCAAACCTTGGCGTCCGATGAAAGCCAATAATCAACCAGAAAACTCCAATTTTGAGTTGTGATTCCATCAAGTATACTAGCATAATTTTGCTCACGCGTTTTTTCCACGGAATCAAAATAATCCTTCTTTAATGCATATCTATGATTTTTCCATGCTTTGCCAATACGCTTCAAAATAGCATTCCTCATTTCCTTTCCATCGGGTAACAGAAAATGTGCCTTAAAGTAAATGTACAAATAAAGTTACGTTAAGATTAATCTATGTAGCATATATAACTTATAGCGTATCATACAACATGTGAGTTATTATTGTGGCATTCATAATTATATCATATATCAGAGAACCATAGCATATGTCAGGCATGCAATAGATTATAAGTGTAGTAATGAAAGTAAGATTATATATTCATGGTGAACGATTAAAAGGCGTACCCGAACAAGGTTAACAATATTGCCTCTCATATTCGAGCTCAACTTATGCCAATTTCAAATTCCCACGGGACAAAATTCTTCTCGTTTAGCAATGTCTCCTAAGAAACTCACAAGGATGGAGCCACCTTTGTGAAGAGGTTGGTTGAATTCATTAAATTGGGCGAAGTACCTAAATCTTGGTGCATCATTCCACACATCTCGAGGCTGAACAGAACCCTTCACAAGGTGTCGTGTTCCATCAACATCTTTGAAAACAATGAAATTAGATAATGTTTAAACAATAAAAAAAAAAAAACATTCGAAAGGAAAAAAACAAAGCACATAATATTAAATATGCATTTACACTTACCAAATGCCACAACCTCTTCTTCCTCATCAAACTTGACATGCTCTGGCCAATTTTTCACAATACTTCGGCGTCTAAATTTTGTTCTTTTCACACCACTGTCCACTCCACCTGACTCATGCAACTCTTCTTCACTCTCTGATTGAGATTCAGGTTCGTCAGAGTCAAAATTTAACCTCTTGTTGCTTTCAGCATGAATATATGCAGGAGACTTATCCTTTTGGAGTCCCGTTGAACAAGTTGTATTCATTTGAGGTTGTGTCAAGGGTTCACCTCCAAAATTAGAAGACGTCATAGGATGCTTCTTTTGAGTTTGTTGCATAGCTTCCAGGGGTGAAACAACTCTTCTTTCTAATTGGGATTTAGCTCCAGTCAAAGAAGAGACAATAGGTTATTGTGAAGCTCCCACCGGCAGTGCACCTGTTTTAGCTCCAGGAAAAGGTTGTTTACTCGGATGTTCGGTAGCTTTTTGAGGTTGCTTTGATGCTTTAGTCGGCTGAGTTGTTTCTTTATGAGGGACTTGTGTTGTTTCTTGTGACGGAAGTGCACCAGTTTTAGCTTAGTAAAAGGTGGAATAGTCGGATGCTCTGTAGCCTTATGATGCTTTGATGGTTTAGTAGGTTGAATTGTTCCTTTGTGAGGCTGTAGTGTTTCTTTAAGAGGGAGTTGTGATGTTTGTGGTGTTACAGATTGTAACATAGGATACGATCTAGGTTGTGATGGGGTTAAAGGAGGTTTTGATGACATCTTTTGTTGGGAGTTTGATGGCATTATAGTTGGCATACCTGCTTCTGATGCAGCAGCTACAGATGAAGATGATGTAGATGTGGGTTTTGATGCATTAATAGAAGATTTGTTTGGTTGCGATATGTGCCCAAACGTTTGTGATCTTCCAAGTGTTGGAGGGCTAAATGGTCCCCATTGGGTGGATTGGTTAGAAGACTCTGAAAAGTTGGATTGTGACACTGCAATATGGCTGGACTTAGACTGTAAGGATGTCGAAGTGGGCTGCTTATTTAAAGAAATTGAGCCTCGCCAGGGGGTAAAGCAGTTCTTTTACTTCTGCAACTCATTATGAGGCACCTATTAACAGAAACAAATACAACTAGTCAGAAATTATGTGTGCAGCATAGGATATCAGACAGGTTTCAATTTTCTGAATCGAAATGTGAAAATGAAGTCGAAGGAAGTAGAGTATGCATACAGGTGACAGTTCTGCTAAACCTCAGTAATCAATCTGCAAATAGCTGAGCATAATCAAGTAAATCAACTCAGATTACTGATTTACTACGTATACCTGAGTATGCCAATTAAAATTCTTAGCTTAAATTGTTGAGTTGGTTTTTAATAATATCGATCAATGCATCAGTCTGTCGAAATCCACATACAACTTTCTGATTTCTTTGTGTTCCTCAATTTGTTTGCAGAAATGGATCGAATACAAAAGGGTACTGCAATGCACCCACAAGCTCCGCCCTTTTTGGTGTATAGCAGGAGACCAAGGGGGGAACAGGATCAGCAGCAGAAGCAGAGGCCTTCTCCACCTCTCACTTGAGCAACGGTTTACTGATATGGGCAGGGAGCATGTTTTGTTATATTAGCTCTTTTACTGTGGTAACTTTAGCTTGTTGACAAGTTGTAGTAAATTAGAAATTAAGGCTTTTGTCCATATATGTATGAGTTGTAGTAGTATAAATAGGAAGAGACTAAAGTAGAGGAGGTAGGCAGAAAATTGTAAGGACTTTTGGAGAGTAATGGCCTAAAGCCATTGTCCTAATAAACAGCATAAAAATATCGAGAGAATTTAATGATCAATAACTAATCTTTAAAGGCAAAAGACATTAATTGAAACAGCATAAAAATATCGACAAAATGTTTCCTAAAAAGAAAAATTGACGATAAAATCTACTGTATAAGAATAAATATACTTGCATTACTTGAAAACAGATTTCCAATAGCTACTCTAACTGTATTCCTAATTTCCAATGAACTGACCAATGTGTGATCAAACTTTACCGATTATAGCATTTATGTTTAATAAGGTGAGGTGGTTAGAGACTTGAAAACGGATTGGGCATATTTATTTACCGACTACTGCAGATCTGATCTTACACCAATTTGTGGTCCATTAGCTTTTAACATACAGTTTCTAACATTTAGACAGAGATGCAAATGCTCTAAATACTAACCAATCTTCAACTGGCCAGTTATCATCAAAGAAGAGTCACAAAGAAAAAAACAAGGAGAATGGCTCCCTATATTGGATATTGTAACAAACATTCATGCAAAGAATTCCAGCTTTATACATAAGTAGATTACCCCTTCTCTACTGAATGCGACCCAAATGCAAAGCCTAAATGCAAACCAAGGGTTTAGTTTAGAGTAAATATGTGATTTCATCACAAAATTCAGAAGACAGAGAAATAGAATGGCTGAAAGCAATTTGATAGTACTCCAACAAGGTAACTATTATTCTTCATTCAAACGAAAGATTAATTTTAAAAATAAATGAAAAGATGCATTTACGAAATCAGGCTAGTTATACAAATTCCATTGCTTAGTAAGTTATCTGAGTCATAATTAAACAATGGTTTCATACTTTCATGTGATTACATATGCAATAGAATCAGGAATTTCTTACAATTGCTTCTGTTTTTCAAATTATTGCTGATGGTTACTAATAGTTAAATTTTCAATTATTCTGTAAACAGTAAAAAAGAAGTTTTATTAAATGATTAATTTAATTATGATTATTTATCTAACGTAAAAATTAAGAAACAAGTGCATATAATTTTTCAATGCAATATTGAATAGGGGAAAGTATTTACCTAATTAAACCTCTTCGTTCTCTCTCTTTTTGACAGGAAGTTCTACACCTGAACAATGAGAATATAGCTGTAATTATATATGATATTGACGAGAAAGAAAAAAAATAGTGTGTTAATTAAGAGCAAATCGAAATCATAAGAAAAAACGCTATAACTGTTAGATGGTATGAGAAAATAGATTGTAATTAACAAATAGAATTAACAAAAAGTAAAGGGATAAATTCAGCAAAAGGAAATATTAATTAATGACAAATATCAACTCATAATTAAATTCAGCAATTACAAATCCAAATTAAATAATAAATAGGAAACTAATCATTCATTGTCGTTATCTACTTCGGTTAACTCATCCCCTAAATCAAACAAGTCTCTAGGCTTAGTCTTTACAACATGAAACCAACCTTTTCGTATCTCATCTTCAATGTAGAAAACCTGTTTTACTTGAGATGAGAAAATAAAAGGATCATCTTGCAAATTTCTTCCTGAATGCATCAACTTAGAGAAATTAACACATATAGAGCCATTTTGATCTGATTTAACACCCCTATGTATGTCTACCCAAACACAATGAAACAATATAGCTTTGTAAGTCCCATAATAGTCCAATTCATATATATCCTTCACTTTCCCATAGTATGCTTCTCCATCTGCTTCAACCATGATTCCAGAATTTTGGGAAGTCAAACGGCTATCACGGTCCATGATCTGAAATTTATACCCATTGATCATAAAGCCCTTCATTTTTCTACCATAACAATTCAATCCCCCTGCCAGAATTTTTCTAAGTTTCCCATCTTCGGTGGATTCATCTATTGAGTGTACCTATCATGGTAGAATATAAAGTCAAAAACAGTCTGCTATTTTTGTAAGAAAATTGAACACATTAGGATACATATATATCACCTGACTTCGCAACCACTCTCCAAACTCGTTGATGATCCAATCACTTTCATCACTTTCAGTGATTGGGTTATGTGTATTCATTTGTCGCTTTAGATTTAAAAATTCTCTTCAAAGAAAGGAAAATAAATTATAATTTATAATGATATATTATAATAATTGGTTATTCATAAAATAGAATAAAACTTGCTACTTACTCGAGAAGATCTTGAATTTCATCAGAATGATGCAGTAAAACATAACGATGAGCTTGTTTTAGGCTTTTGTCATCTAGACGGAAATTGACTTCTTTCCCAATTACTCGACCGCCAGAATTACACAAGCATTTTCCAGAATTGGGACTATCATCATCAATTCGTTTAGGTTTGTTAAAGACGGTCTTAACACCTTCAAGATATCTTGAACAAAACCTAATGGTCTCCTCTAAAAGGTAGCCTTCTGCAATTGACCCATCAGGTTGGGCTTTATTAGCTACATGTGACTTTAGATGGGCCAAGTACCTTTTCAAAAAGTCAAATTATAATTAAAATACAGTAAGTTTATAGATTTTCTAGATGAATTTAGATTAGACATATATGTAAATAAATCTAACCTCTCAATGGGATACATCCATCTGTACTGTACTGGCCCATCGAGTTTAACCTCTTCCACTAAGTGAATTAGCAAATGAACCATGATTGTGAAAAATGAAGGCAAAAACTCCATTTCCAACTCACAAAGGGTTAATACAATTCCTTCTTGAAGAGCATCTAGATCATCAGGATCAATAGCAGTGGAGCATAATTGCTTGAAAAAGTAAGACAATTTTGCAAGCAAATCAATTACTTTTGTTGCATTAGAAGCTCTTAATGCGACGGGAAGGATATCTTGCATCAAAACATGGTTGTCATGGCTCTTAAGGTTAATCAACCTTCTTTGCTTCATGTTCACGCATCTAGAAAGGTTAGATCCATAGCCATCAGGGACTCTGAGTTTTTGTAAAACTTTTAAGAACCTCTCTTTCTCCTCTACAGACATAGAATAAGAAGTTGAAGGCATATGATTATCTTGAACCCAAAGATGTGGCTTTATGCCACATCCTTGAAGGGCATCTCGATCATCCTTCTTATCTCTGCTTTTATCGGTATTTAAGAGAGTATTTAAAATATTGTCACACACATTTTTTTCTATGTGCATTACATCTAGATTATGCCTCAACAAATTATGTTCCCAATACTCTAAATTATAAAATATGCTTCTCTTGGTACCAATGACAACATCTTCTTCATTGTTACTCTCGTTACCTCTCTTTCTTTTTGATGCCTTCCCATAAACATACCCAACCTTTTCTTGTAGCCCCAATATGTCAGTCCCACTAGGCCGAGGTGGAGCTTCACCATGCTCTTCTCTTCCGTTAAAACTGTCACTCTCAAATCGATATGGATGACATGATGGAAGCCATTTTCGATACCCACAATAACAAGTCTTACTCCCAAATTTTTCAGAAGGAGTTGAATCAATGCATATAGGGCATGCCATATAGCCTTTGGTGCTCAGACCGGAGAGCATTGCATAACCAGGAAAGTCATTAATAGTCCAAAGCAAAGCGGCTCGCAATTTAAATTTCTCTCCATCATAAGCATCAAAAGCATCAACCCCACTCCATAACAATTTCAATTCATGAACTAGTGGCTGCAAATACACATCGATGTCAATTCCGGGACTTGTTTTACCGGGAATGATAATAGACAACATGAATGAAGATGGTTTCATACATAACCACGGTGGAAGATTATAGGGAATCAACACCACAGGCCATGTACTATAAGTCGTGTTCATCAAACGATATGGATTAAACCCATCACTTGCAAGTCCTAATCAAACACTACGAGGATCCGAGGCAAAATCCTCATAACGTTGATCAAATGATTTCCAAGCTAATGCATCTGAAGGGTGCCTTAACATCTTCTTATCAACATCATTCAATTTATCATTATGAGTATAATGCCATCTCATATCTTCTACTGTTTTTGAGGACATGTAAATTCTCTTCAGTCTAGGGATAAGAGGAAAGTAACGCATTACCTTAGTTGGCTCACCACTCGTAGAAACAGTCTTATCTTGATCTCTGACATTATCATTTCTACCCTTATTTTTCTTCCATCTTGATGTACCACAAACATGACACTTGTCTTTCTTTGAATAATCACCCCAATACAACATACAGTTATTTGGACAAGCATCAATCTTCTCATACCCAAGGCCAAGGTCTTTTATTATTCTCTTACTTTGATAATAAGATGAGGGGAACTCAAGTATTTGGGGAAATGCGTCTATGAGAAGCTCGAGTAGCATATTAAAGGATTCAGCAGACCAATGGCTCATACATTTTATGTGAAAAAGGTGTAAAAGAAAAGACAGTTTGGAAAATTTAGTACACCCGTCATACAATTTCTCATCGGAAACATCAAGTAATTTCTTATACTTAGCTTCATCTTGCGTTGTTGAAAATTCTAAATCAATCTCCTCTTCATAAAAGACAGGGTCTTCAAGATACTCGTCATTTTCATTATTTTCATGTGGTTCAAAGGTTAGGTCATTTGAGGGTTTTTCAAAACTAAAAGCAGATCTCAATAGGCCTCCCATATCATCTCGACCTCCAAACCTTGTTTGATCTAGTGGGGATCCTTAGCTAGTACTACCTCCATCACACCCAATCATACGCTGAAGCAAATCCCCTTGACCATGAAAAATCCATTTCTTGTATGATTTATAAAACCCGTTAAACAAGATATGTCTTTCTACATCATTTACACAAAGCCATTTATCCACTTTACATGTCTTACATGGACACCGAATCTTTCCTTTTCCTTCTACCTGAGCTACCTTAGCAAAGTTAATGAATTGCATACAACCTTTGACATATTGAGTGTGGCATCGTGGAAGTTCTATCCAACTTGTATCCATATCTATACATAATTAATACTTTAATAAGGGAACTACAATTTTGACCAAATAAATAGAAAATTTTAAAGCTTACTTATCAGAACAAATATCAAATTCTTCACAAACTAAAATACACAACAAAGCAGATTGGGGTAGCATACTTTTATTTCATATATTCTGATCATAAAACTGAGGAAAGGTCAATCATTATAGCCATGCAACAGAAATAAAAGTTATAGGTATAGGATTTACTATATGAAATCTAACCTATTGATGCAATTTTCATTGCATACTATTTAAACCTCACTATATAATAATAAAAAAAATTAAGAAAAATCACCTACAATTATATAATTAAACCAATGTAATCAAAGATGATGAACTATTGGAGATACCAAATAGTTATAAGTCACTAAGTTGCTTTGTCAAAGTCATTACAAGCCATACAAACAAAATTACATGCTTACTTGGTATAGCATACAACAATCTTAAAGCTTATCTCAAAACTAAACTGTCATAACTTGAAATAGTAGCATATAAGATGTGAGTAATACCTTGGTATAGCTGTCTTCAAGAGTCTTCTAAACTAAGCATGCAGTGACCAAAAGAATCCAAAAGGATGAATGCTGAAAAAAAAAAATCAAGCAATATCCACACATTAGATGATATATTATATAATATAAAGAATTATGTTCGAGTGACCAAAAAAAAAATTATAGGGGGGGGGGGGGAGAAAACTCAAAAGACACTTCAATTGAAAACAGTGATAACAAAAACAAATACGGTAATTCAATACTCAAATGCAAAGTTGACATGGGAGATAACATAGAAAAATACACATCAGTAGTGGAATCAAATTGGGAGAGTTTGAAGTTGTTAGAAAAATACTCATTGAACGAATTTACTGGGCATTTGATAAATATGGTAAACATGAGATGCTGGTTCTGGTGGCTTTTGTTTGGGATACGTGGGCTTTTCATAATTCAGTGGTGTTTGGTAAGACTTGGAGCAGTGAATTATAGTAGGAGTTATGGGTTTTGTGAAACTTGTTCTCGATTTTAAAAAATATAATTAGAGAGTTTGCTATGTTTCTGGCTTCCTGCTACCAGAGCTGTGATTTATAGAAGTTATTAGCTTCCTCATGCTCCTGGTATAATAAAAATCAAAACTGACGCTGTAATGTTGGAGGAGAATGGCATGGGGTTAGGGGCAGTTTTTAGGGATGCTGCAGGTTGTGTTCATACAGTGGTGGTGCGTAGGGAAGTCTGTAGAAGTTCAGTTGAGGTGGCTGAAGTTCTCGCTGCTAGATTGGGGTTACAGGTTCCCTTGAGTCTTGGTTATCAAAAGGTGGAACTAGAATGTGATGCTGCTAATTTATGAGGTGCAATTAATTTGAAGTACTTTGGGAGGTCTGTTTTTGATCTACTGGTGGAAGATATATGTAGCTTGGGGGGACAATCTTGATAGTTTTTCTTGCCATCATGTGAAAAGGAAGGGTAATACAGCAGCACTTATGATAGACTTACTCCTTCAAAGGGTCCATATCTTAACTCCTTAAGATCAACTATACGAACAACATGATTCAATTCTTAATAGTTAATTGAATCTTTTCTCAAATATTGTTTAGCGTAATGACTTTTATACTCAAAGAAATAATCACAGATATGGTAATCAAGCATTCCATGATTTAAAAAAAAAAGCCGAAATTGATGGCATAATTTATAAGACATAATACCAGCATGCTCAAAGCTCTGAATTCAAGCAGTCTGCTAAACTAACTGCTACATACATCTCTGTTCTCAGAAATTGATCACCTTTAAGAAAACTATTAAATATATCTAATTACACCTGAAAAGAATATGAGATATATTTTTCAATCAATGTCACCAAAGTCAGCATACATCTCTATTTTTATAGTTATCCCATTTAGCCGAAGAAGGTAATAGACCATCACCTATTATGAATAATCAAATAATTATTCATTAACTATGGATTTAGTAAAAGCTTAAGCTCAAAACTCACAGCCAACTATAGACATTCAAAGATACACAACCGAAATTTTCATCCAGAACAATATTATATTTAGGCAGTGCTTATGTACATTACCTCCAATTCTTGAAGCCGTTTCTCCGCCTTTTTAGCTTCTGATTTTCCACTTCTTTGCACTTCAAATACCACAGCTTCTCCTCAGATGACCTGTGCATAATTATGGTCAAAAATCTGCTGGTTAATTGTAGTTGTGCATTTTGTTTCAATTTAAAAAAGAATCTAAAGTTTGAAAGCAATGTATATGTAAACATTTAATTAAACAACTGATTGAATATGTATACATCTGAAAATTATCAAAAAGTTAGAATTTTTAATAAAAATATGCATAATTCGAGACTTCGAGTAACAATTGCAAATGGGTATCCAATTCTTTACCAATAAAAAAGTTAGAATATAATTAACCAATTCAATAACTTAATTAATTCGTTAATTCAACCCATTCCTCAACTATAATCGGAGATTATAATAATAATAATAATCATGCATGCAGCTATCAACATACATAATAATTAAAGAAAAAAATTGGAAAAAAAAAAACTTACGAGATCTTTGGGCTGAATCTTGATAAATTTTCTCCAACAAACAATAGAAACGATGAATCAAAACTCGCAATACAAATTAACCCCAAAACTAAATTAAGAGAACTTTTTTGGCAAATTATGAAGAGTATTAAAGCAATCTGCAATTCACATCATACTATACGCTTCAAATATATTGAAAAAAACAAAATTGAAGAGGTAAAGTAAGAAGTGGGCTGAGATGATTATATGCTAACTGAAATCAAGAAATTAGGGATTTTTTTGTGAAGATTCAAAGTTTTTAGGCAACAAATCTGAGCGGCGAATAAGGTGTTATTGGCAACTGCTTAACAAAACCGTACTGGGAGCTGATAGTGCAGTAAGGACGAACATGGGGTACAGTTTCCCGGGATATTAGATTAAAAATTTTGGTGAAATTTTAATTTCAGCGGGTTAGTTGTGTAAATGTGTAATTGATAGTTGGGTGATACGTTTCATTGCATTCAATATTATGATCCTTTTCAGGGACACAGTATATTTTGCCTCTAAAATTAGTCAAAATGTATAAATTATATAATAGTGGACGGAGGAAAATTATGACCCATTACAAATGTATAAATTATTTTAAAATTCCCTCCCTCAAACCTTCCTTTCTCTTGCTGGCTTCTCCACAATCCACAGACCACACCCACTATTATGGAAATTGGTTTAACAGGTCACAACAATGACATGAGAATTTGACAAATTAACACTTCGAAACCTGAACAATATTAGTTTTCCAAAGTAATATTTCAACCCTTATATACACACCGGTATCACAAAATTACGAGGAGATACTACGAAGACAATCACAACAGTGTGTAGTATGTTTGTGATATAATGTAATCAGACTTTTAAGATGATTATAATTAAAAAAACAAGCAAAACTAAGCAATGGGAAATCATGAAAGAAGGGCTGCCACTGGATCAGATACAGGTCGGGTTATGCTCCATCCGCCTATGCCCATCCATCACCTGAACCATCCGTCACCCGATCCAAACTCCATCCATATCCGATCCATCCATCATCCACGGATGAATCGGGTGATAAATGGGTGAAATTCAAGTTCTATTTGCATTCTAATTTTTGTAAAAAAAAATTCAGATATGGTAAAATAGTCCACTTATATCAAACAAACTGTATTTGATTTTCTATTCTATTAGTAGCTTCTAGATGTAGTAAATACTATATATATTTTTATTTATTTTAATATTTGTTTACATTTATTAAATGGCTAATATATATGTGGATGGATGGGTGGATCGGGTGATGGGTTGGATGAAGGTCCACGCGAATCTGACCCAATCCTTCACCCAATCTACCCGTCATCCAATTATAATCCACTTTTGATTGGATTTTTATCCATATTGTTTGGGGCGAGTGGATCAATTACGAGTCGGGTGGTTATCCGTGAGTTTGGGTGAAATTGCCAACTCTACATGAAAGTCACGAGGAAAACAAACAACCCCCTTATTTTCTTTTTTTCATCATATTTCTTTCAATTGGCCTTGTACAGACCCGGACTACAATAAATTATTATAAACTCAAAATTTTTAAACGATATAATTATCTTTTTGTGAGTCATATTTTGAATTATACAATCTCATATTAAATCATTTAATGAGATTATATAATTATCTTTAGGGTGATAAAATTTAAAAATCATCTTTTTTTGAATGATGTAATTTACTATTTAATACTTTTTATAATGATAAATTTACTTTTTAAGTGATACAGTTACATAACAGTTTCACGATGATATTATCACTTTTGTAGTAATATAATCACATTTCGTATGATATAATCACATTCGTAAAATATACTAAAAAGTCGGGTCTACAATAAGTTATTGTAGACCGGTTCTAGTGTTTGTATATTTCTTAAAATACACATGCGAGTATATAGAACTATAGAAGCATAATAAACCAGCACAGTCACGGATAAACTGCCATCAACCAAGAAGAAAACACCGTCACTTTCAAGCAGCCCAGACCCGAGGCGGCGGCAGAAGACAGGGCAGCTTTGCTTCCCTACTTCTCCTTGCTTATCCCTCTAAACCGAGGTCTTCACTTTAAACCGAGTTTAATTTGCTTCTAATTATTTTGCTATGCTTAATTAAACTCCAAAATTGTCTCATACTCTAAATTACTCAACACCGACTTCTTAGTTCTTACGACCAGTTAGCTTCAGTTGGAACTAACTATTTTCTCCAGAATCGCCTTCATGACGGTTGTTCTTGGGGCGAATAGAGGGCCTCTACAATAACTCCGGGGAGCAACCGTGTCCGTTTGATGAAGCATCATCTACAAAACTCCAAGTCAGTAATTATTTTCTCGCTAATTTATATCTTTAATTTCTGTTTTTATTAAATGAATTTAATCTTTTTTCATGTCCTATTAATCTTTGTATTTGTGCTAGTTTTTTTTTTGATGATTTGGGAATTGAAAAATAGAAATGGGGTTTTCATAAATGTTGAGGAACATATGATTGAGCAATTTTGAGGTGGGGTTGTCAAATTATTGGATAATTATGTTTGCAATCTGTGGAATTGGAATCGAGAGCCGAGTAACTTTGCTTAGACTTTGATTTTTCTGGGGTTTAAGTTATCTTTAAATTCCTCTTAGCTAACTTAGTTTTGGAGTTGAACTTTCATAAAGCTACTCTTGCTTACTGCTTAGTTGCCTTGCTTAATTGTTGTTGATTTTAACTTTCTTACAAATGTGAAGATCGAACTTTGGATGTAGTTACCCACAATTATTGGAACGGCCAATTTGGATTAGTTTAGTGTGCTTGTATATTTTAATGCTGAAACTGCATTTTCTTGAATGGCTTGTATAAATATTTAGTTGTTTAGAGTGTATTGACATGGAAATTCAATTGTTGAATGGTGGTTTAGATACTTATATGCATAAGTATTTGTTTTAGGGTGTTATATTCAGACAGTATTTAATAAGGTCAAATGCATTAGGAATCGTATAACCTTGGCGCAAAGTGTAGGGATGATGCATGCACAATGGCTGTGGAAATACAAGCGTAATATTCTGGTGAAAAATAATCTGCTGTAAACCTTTTTGTATCTCCTCTATGATATTTTAAAAATGTCTTACCTTTATCGCATTAGCACATTTCTTATACACTGTATACACAGCTGTAAATTGGTTCCATAATATGTGAAATCGTGAACACAACAAGAATATTTCTTAACATATGTATAGAATGTGATGAAATAAGTGACATTTCAAATAAATTATTATTTATTTTTTTATTTATAATTCTATTACTAGGGAATAAAACCATGACCTCAAGAAGTTCCATCCTGGATCACCCTTTTAGATGTATTTAACAACTTATAGATATAAGAAAGCAATAGAAACATGAACACCATGAAGCCATGAAATTTGAAATCCTAGCCGTAGTCCTACCGTGGCAACACAATAGCTTACCCCCGGCCTAGCCAAAGAAAACTCCCGATAGCCCTTAAAAGGGAGCAGACCAGTAGACCACCATGCTCTGTTGACTGATATGAACACTCTCAGATTCTCGATTCTAGTTCATAAAGGCCAATCCCAAAAGTTAATGATAGTATACTACTTATGTCGCTAGATAAAACTTAGGCCTAAACTAAGGTTAAAAAAACTTAGCTAAAGAAATAAAGAAACCAGACCTAACTATTTACTAAGATAAAAGGATTAAAAATACAGAGAAAAAAAAAATCAGACCTAACTAATTACACAAGGCCATTGGTTTTGTTCCCTGCATCAAAGATAGAGAGAAGAGGACAAGAGGTAGGGATTCATTTGACTCCTGTACCCATTGGCCCCTTAAAGGAGATCCTGCTTGCAAGAAGCCGTGCTGTTTTGATATAGCTGCTGCGGTTTGCTGTCTAATTAATCGTCAGTATAAACCCTTATTTGAAATGAAATGTTAGTTCGTTTTTAAGGTTGCCATTGATTTTCATTTCTATCATCAATTTGTTAGTTGTATCTTAATTCTTGGTACATGCAATCTATACTTGTGGTAATCTGAATGAGTTAGTTGCATTTCAATTCCAGTTTCTTACCAAGTATTAATTTTTTTTTTTTATGATTTTGAAGTGTTCTTTGCATCTTGTTTTAGATTCAATCACATTGATAATTCACTGGCTTTGCTTTATTTTTTTGCTTTATTTTTTTGGTTGTCTGTTTTTGGTCTCATTTGAGCAATAGTACTCAATGAGTCATTGTTGATGCATGTAGTAATAACAGTTGCTTATGACTCATTTGTGTAGCAATTTTAGGGGGCCTTTTTTTTTGGTCTATTTGCTTGCTTGCTTGATGCTGCTCAGGTTATAGTCATTCGCTTTGTTAATTTTGCGACTTGTGTTGAGCTTTGTTGCTTTGAGCTATTTAGTGTATGGTGGTGTATAAAGTTTGGATAGCTCTTCTTTTCCGTATTCTTTTATTGCCACAATATTGGAGAATAATACTCAAGGGTGTAAGAAATCTTGTTATGTGGATGAAGCTTTCTTGATGAGAGTTCCTTAATTGTTGATTTTCCTCTTGTGTATGGCTAACATTTATTTTTTTCCTAATACTTTGGAGAACTGTTGAATGTATGATGCCAGGGTAGTGTTTTATCTACTCTTGTAGATAAACTTGGTAAGTTCCATGTTATAATTCATATCATCATTATTTGCTGAATTTACTTTCCAGAAGCAATGGTTTTGCTTCTTACAGAGAAGAAGTACTATTTGAATATGATTGCTAGCTGTTTGCAACTTTATTTTTTCTAGCAGCCTTATTTTTGCAAAGAATGTGATTTTTGGTAAGAATCTTCTAATATAATGAGGAAGTCAAGAAGTAAGAACTACATGTTTTTATCTTAAGGAAAGCGGAAATGTTAAGTTTCTTTTGTGACTGGCACTAAGAGAGATACTTATTTGTTTATGACAGGAGTTTAATACTGTTATATCAATGTTTGCTCTTCCATCCTGCCGTTTTTCTCATATATTGTCAGTCTAACTTCGCTAATATGTTTGCAGGTAAAAGTTAATTTACTTTTGAAGGGTCAACTACAAAGAGTTTTAGTATGAGGAGTGCGTTTCACCTACTGCTGGAAATAATGTTTTTCCTTGTGTATGCCACATTCTCCTTCATGGTTGTCTCCTAGAGAGTTGTTTATATTCTGGATTGAGCCCTTTTTACCTTGGAACGTTAAGTGAAAACAAAATATCAAACATACTGGGTGCAACAAATTAGTTGCTGTTATTGGAAACTCTAGGAAGAGCATCAAAAACATTTGAAACTGCGGAAAGATTGATGTTTCATCCTTTTCTCACATCTCTAAAGGAATGCATTAGTCATGGTGATCTCGGTAAAGCATTTAGAGCCTTCTCTTTGATCCAATTTCATTTCACCGCACATGATCAAATCTTAGAGCCAATATATTCCCTACTTATAGCTTGTTCAAAACACAAGTCACTTCAACAGGGTAGGCAGCTCCATTCCCAGATCATATGTTTGGGTCTTGATCAACATAGTCTATTACTGCCTAAGCTTGTCACTTTATACTCCACTTTTAATCTATTGCCTGAGGCACATTTGATAGCTGAAAAATCTAGTGTTTTGGATCCTTTGGTTTGGAATATCCTTATATCTGCATATGTAAGAAATGGACTCTCAAATAAAGCTCTGTGTACTTACAGACAAATGTTGAATTTTGGTATCAGACCGGATGAATTTACTTATCCATCTGTGCTAAAGGCATGTGGTGAGCAATTAGATCTTGGTTTTGGTAAGGAAGTCCATAGCTCCATTTTGGTCAGCAATTATGGGGAGTCAATTTGTGTTCGAAATGCATTGATCTCCATGTATGGTAAATGTGGCGATGTTGGCGTTGCTCGTGTCTTGTTTGATAACTTGCCCAATAAGGATGGATATTCATGGAATTCTATGATATCTGGATATTCTTCCAAGGGTATGTGGGAAGAAGCATTTGTGCTGTTTGAGAAGATGCGGCTTGAGGATGTTGAATTAAACATTATAACATGGAACACCATTATTGGTGGATGTTTGCGAACTGGAAACTATGTTAGAGCACTTGATTTGGTTTCTCAAATGAGAACTTGTGCTGTTAAGTTGGATGCTGTTTCAATGGCCAGTGGCTTGAGCGCTTGCTCTCACATAGGATCTATAAAAACAGGGAAAGAGATGCATGCTTTTATTATCCGTGGTGGCTGTGCTAATTTTCTAAATGTTCAGAATGCACTAATTACCATGTATGCCTGGTGTCAAGATCACAGACACGCACATGTTATATTCCAACAAATGGAAGAAAAGGATATAATTTCTTGGAATTCGATAATCTCAGGTTATGCACATTATGGAAAATATGAAGAAGCCTCCTTTCTCTTTAGGGAAATGTTGCTTTGTGGCTTTAGACCAAATTATGTTACTGTAGCCAGCATTCTTCCCTTGTGTGCTCGAGAAGCTAATCTGCAACATGGAAAAGAACTCCATTGCTTCATCATCAAGCGTCAAGATTTCAGTGAGTATTTGCTATTATGGAATGCTCTGGTGGAGATGTATGCAAAAACATCTAGGATTTCAGAGGCACAAACAGTGTTTAATTTTTTGACTAGGAAGGATATTGTTACATATACTTCTTTAATAACTGGCTATGGTATTCTTGGAGATGGAGAAGTTGCATTGAAACTATTTGAAGAGATGAATAGTTCTGGAATCAAACCTGATCTTATTAGTTTGGTTGCAGTTTTGTCAGCATGTAGCCACTCCGGTCTTGTGATTCAGGGTCAGTTGCTGTTTGAAAAAATGTGGTGTGTGTATGGCATAAGACCCTGTTTGGAACACTATGCATGCATGGTGGATCTTTTTGGTAGGGCTGGGTTACTTAAGAAAGCAGAAGAGATCATTAGAACAATGCCTTTTGAACCAAGTGCTGATATGTGGGCTACTCTAATCGGGGCATGTCAAATCCATCGGAATATAGATTTAGGAGAGTGGGCAGCTGAAAAACTGTTGGCATTGAGGCCCAGAAATCCAGGGTACTATGTGTTAATTGCTAATATGTACGCTGCTGCTAGTTGTTGGGACAAACTGGCAAGAGTTCGAACATATATGAGGGACTTAGGGTTGCTAAAGTCCCCAGGTTGTGCTTGGGTTGATTTAGGAAGTGGTTTTGAACCATTCTTGGTAGGGGATTCATCCATGGAACTATCACATGAGATATATCCCATACTGGAAGGATTAACTGAGAATATGAAAGATGCTGGATATTTTGATGTGTTTGTTATAGATTATGAGGGTTTTGAGGAGTAAGGGGGAAGTATTACTAGTGCCAAAATTTACCAATCAGTTGCGATATTGATGGAACTATCTGGTGCTCGGCTGGGGAAACAAATCATCTTTGTGATAACTGCTTTTGATCATTACTCTCCGTATGAGACAATTTTAACTCAATTATTCCATAATCCCATCAGAGACAGTTTATACAGGCTTCAGTATGTTTTATAACCTGGTTCACAATGATATTTTGCAGTCGCATAGAAGAAATTCAATAGAAGTTGCATTAGAGATGGATTGCAATACTTCATTCTTTGACAGGTTGGTGAATTGCCTAGCTTTTCCCAGATGATGTTTTGTCATTCTACCCTTAAAAGATTTGTTCTAGGAATAATTAATAGCTATCTCAACTATAGTCAGACTACAAAAAATAATCCTTATTTGTGTTATTCCACAATAGTCAGGGTCTGCAATAAAGTGATATTAGGGGAAAGGGGCATTTTAAACAAAATCCTTATATTTATTTATTTATTTATTTTGAATTGAGACAAAATCCTTGTAAATATGTAACTAGCAATGGGAAGTTTAGGAAGTAAGTTAGAGAAGAAATGTTATAAATAAGAGAAGATTAGGGAAGAGATCAGTATGTTGAATATTGTTGGATGTTTGGGTTAGCTTTAGAGAGCTAAATTAGGAGAGAATCCACCTTTAGGAAGTGGAATTATCGTACAATAGTGCTCTAATTTAGTTTATTAATCAAAAAATCATCATCCTCCTATTATCTGCCATGTATTGATGCTTAAGCTATGTTAATTTATAGCAGTGTCTTCTCAAAATGATCTGGTGACTTGACTGGTTTAGCAAGTTAGTTGGCCACATGGCACAATATTATTGGCTCCCTATATTATGTTTCTAAAAAATTTAGTCTTCCCTCATGGAATTCACATCTCTCCTCCCTACTTCCCCAGCTCCCTTCTCATTTACCTGGAAAAATTATTGTCCAATTATAAACCTTTCATTTATGCGCCACTGCCTACCACCTCCTGCCCCCCCCCCCCCCCCCCCCCCCGTAATTATCTATTCTTAGCATCGTGTGAACAAATTAGTCGTCATTCCTTTCTACTAAGATTTGAGTGCCATCCCTAGCTAATTATTTGGTCTTTTTTAATCCCCAATTTTTAATTTTAGTTTCTTTGTTTCCTCATTGAACATCATTGAAGACTATTATGCCCCAACTGTATTTCCAAATTATCTTAAACTCGACTTCAAATTCCATTGGTTGTGCTCAAAAACTCAATTATATTATCTATAACTATTAAAAGTGACAAGTTTGAGAGTTGAAAACTCCTTAGTAATAATGTGATGACAATTTTGCCCCTCAAAATGTTCAAGTACTATTTTTCCCTTATTCTGCTTGCTGGTGATCACTTTCTATTCTGCTTGCTGGCGTTTCTCTCTCCTTCTCTCTCATCGAACAACAATGGCGTAGATTCAACAACGACCTTCGAGGTGTTACAGTGAAGGAAGTTCCCGACAAGGTGAAGCCTATGCTATCTTTCTCCTACCTTATGGTCTGTTTGGATACAACCATTTAATTTGAAATTCTGTATTTAACTCAATTCACTTGTTTGGATATTTACAATATTTGGAATTGTATTTAAATGAATTCCACACACATTTAAATGTAACTTATATTTTGGAATTTCAAATTTAACTTTAAAACATGTCATTTCAAATTCAATTCAGCAATTGTGTCGTGATATTTTGGGGCTTGCGACTTCACTCTCAAAAGATGCTCTTATCTTCAACTTTTGTCCTGCAATTATCTCCTCCATTTTTGTCTTCCTCATCTTCTCTCTCCTCAAAACTCCATTGTTGATGCCATTAGAGTTCAAATAATAAAGCTTATTGTGCTTCTTCATCCCTCTAATTTGCTATATGAAAAACTACGCATCATACGACAATTTGGAGATATAAGATCTTCTCTTATTGTTATTGAAAACTTAAATTCTGTCTTTTTGAGATTGCTGCCTTCAATTGCATGTCTGTTTATAAGCTTCAATTGCAACAACTTGTTTGGTTATTTTTAATTTTTTTTATCATTATAAATAGTAGTCTATATTATATTGTAATGTTATTTTTGGGTTTTAATTCCCCTTTTGAGATTCATAATCTTTATAGGTAGTTGACCAAATTGATACTTCGTATAATTTACTTCGATATACTTGTAATTGCAATGACTCATCATATCAACTTCTTATACAGCTTATGAATTCTTGAATTGAAATTCTACAAATTCCCAAACAAATGATTTGGAATTGAATTGCAAAATTTCAAATTCTTGATTTCAATTCCATAATTTGAAATGAAATACAAGTTTCCAAACACAACCTTAAGGAATTCGTTATCTTGAGCATGCCCAGAATCATGGTCATTGATCTCCCTCCTTTTTTAGGTAATTTTGGTTTGATATGTTTCAAATTGATTCTAAGTTTTGTTGATTTTATTTTTATTGGATTTGGAGCTGGTTATGTTGATTGGATCGGGAATTTGATCTTGAAATTATTGGGTTTTATGTTTTAGGGTTTGATGATTTGGGAGTCTTTGGTGAAATGTGGCTTTTGATTTTCGCATTTTCTTTTGATTGATTGGTTTATACTCAGTTATTTGGGTTATAATGTTGAATTATGTATAGTCAATTTGGGGTTTACGCTTATTTAGGGTTTCGATATCTTCAATTTGGTTTTTTTTGCTCTTTGTTTTTGATAATTTTTTGGTTCTTCAGGTCTTTGCTTGAAATTATACTATTGTTTCATGCTTCAATTATTTGTCTAAATTTGCCGCATTTAAATCAATTTTTGCATCTAATTTGCCGCTTTTGATAATTTTTTGGTTCTTCAGGTCTTCAGGAATTTTGCTTGTTGGGTTCTGTTCAAATCACTAAATTTGTCTTTTGGTTGTGTTATTTAATATGATTTTCATGAGATTAGTTGATGATGGGATTTCTGGGTTTTAGAATTTGGTTCTGAAATTCTGTATTTGGGATATTTATGAGGTGGGGGTTGTGTTAATTTGTCTTTTTTGCACCGTTGCTATCTTATTCTTTGGTATTGTAATTTGAGTTCATTCAAGTGACAGTAGGAGTAATTAGCATTTGAAATGATATTTTCCAAAAGTTACAATTTTTAAAAATTTTTTTTTTTATTATTTTTTTTATGGCAATAATAATTGCTATATAGTGGTAGTAAGCTGTGTAGATGTTTCTTTATTACTTTCTGTATACTTTGAGCTTCATTGTTGATTTTTATATTAATCCAGTTATGGAAAAAAAAAAGCCAAAAACAAAACAAAAATCCGTTTTAAGTTTTTGTTTTTGATTCCAGCTTAATCCTCAATTTCTTATTTCGTCCTTTTTAAACCTCCTCATTATTAATGCGCACTTAGTTTCTTTTTCAGGTGAACTCTACAATGAGGATCTGAAATTAAGCTACCTGATTAACATGTGAATCAACTGTTTCTAATTACAGATAAATTATGATGAATATATAGATATATATTGTGAATGCGTTGTTTATTTTATTAAAGCTTTAGTATAATGAAGAATGTATTATAATTGAACCCAAGTTATTAGATTGACTCATATATTGCTTTGGCATGATGTTAATTGTTTTATAATGTGCTGATATTAGTAACTATAACTGAGTCATATAATTGGAATGCCGATTTGTGATTATTTTTCCATGGGATTCATACTGGTCTATGTTTAGTGATTTGAACTCGTGTGTGTTTGTGTGCACTCACGTATGGTGATATGGTATCTTTGGTGTGCAATGTGTATATACGCTTTTAGCTTTATGCTTTTGACTAAGCTTTCAGGTTACAGTTGTTGAATTGGATTTCTGTTCTGAGTTTTTTGCAGAAACTTTTTTGTAGAATGGGAAAATACTGGCCTATGAGGAAGTGGTGGGAGGTAGGCAGGGTGGTCATGATTGTTCTCAAACTACCCTTGTTTTTCTTTTTATTGATGGAATAGTGATACTTACATGTTATTTGATTGTTAGTTCATTTTGGTTGTAAAGTTGTAAAATATTTTCATTGATCACACCGGAATCTAAGTTTTGAATTGATGTTGTGATTTCGGGTATGAACTAATGTAATGCTTGTTGGATGTGTTGGTTTTGGGGGCAGTGTTTTGGTAGAATTAACCTTTGAACATTGAGTGATGTAAAAATTAAAACTCGGCTTTTCCGATTAATTTGAGATAGTTGCTGTTAAAACAGATGCTTGTAGGTTGCAATGAAGTTTTTGCAATGAGATTTCACTTGGGTTTGGCTATTTGTGGTGCAATTTGGCAGAAGGAAGTATAAGATTAATTAAATCATTAATAAAGTGTATTGATTAGGATTAGTTGACTGATTTATGATAACAGTTGTTGTATTAGTGTTTTGGGAATTTTGTTTTTGTGTTTTTGTTAAAGCATCAATTTTGGTTAATCTTGAGTCAATAAAGTCACAAATATCAGGTTCAAAGTTCTTGAATATGACGATAAATCTCCTAAGGTCTTGTTTTTATTGAGTGTTAGTGGTTAGTCATATTCATAATTGATCAAGTATTTGGAGAATTGCCCTCTCCATCTCCATCTGCTTCCTTTCAGTCCACAATGCTGTTTTGCATAGTTCATCTCATTTGTAAAAGATGACTGCCTTGTTTTTGCTATTGTGCCAGTGGTTTTTGTTCCTTGTCCAACTATTAATCGAAAATACAAGATATGGCTGGATAATGAACAGGGTAAGGCTGTGTGCATCTTAGTCACTTAAAATACTGTCAAAAGCAGGACACATTACATTTTATAGTGAAATGGATTTAACCTTTGTGCTGTTTAGAGAAACTTGAGGTTGAAACTTGGGGTTCTTTTGTGTTGCATTTATCTTGGTGGGACAATGAGTTTGATCGTTTGATTGTGTTATTTTTATTTTGAGCTTGAAACTTGAGGTTATAACTTGGAGTTCTTTAGATTGACTTTCTTTTTAATAGTAAGGTGATAGACAGATAGAGTGTGAATTCTTACAGAAACTAAACTTCAGTAGGTCCCTTTGAGTGAGGTTTTACAAGTTTAAAATATGAGAGATTTGGAAGATTGTATTGGATAGTGTTGTGTAATTTGGTTTTGTGTGTCATTTTATCTCAGAATATGGATTAAGGTTGTGAAATTGTAATGATGATTTTGGGATTCTGTTGTGGGTTTTATGTCATATAATTTTGTTTTGTTTTGGCTTTCATACGCATTGGTGTTTTGGACCTTAATGAATTGCAATTAACGAAAATTTAGAAGCTTAAGATCAATTTCAATTGCATTCTTTGCAATGAGAACTGTCTTTTCTGATGTCTTTTGTTCTCATCGGATTCTTCACCTATTATTCTATCTTAAGCTCTATTCTTGCGTGATTATGAAATGTTCACTATATATTTTATAAAGAGAATTGGGTTGTCTCCTTTTCCTACAGGTCCTGGACTCAGCTTATCAAGTTGGAAGATTTTCTGTCTCAACGGCCCCTGATTTGCCTTACAAGGAAATAGCCATCCACTACGTAGCTCTTATGATGGGTAAGCAGAAGATGTCCCATTTTATGACGGTTCAGCAACAAGAAAGCTTAATCGACTTCTATGTCCAACATGCTGATCTCGAACCAGTTAGGGTTACTTCTTCACATGTAAGGCATTTATTAAAATTCTTTTAGTTTTGAGGTTTCAATTGTTGCAATGTTTGATACATGCAATGAATTTCTAGCTGTTTCTGGATGATTGAATTTGTTAAAACAAAATTGAACGGAGTTTATAGTTATTTGATAAAGCCGTAGAAGGATTGTTTGTGCTGATTAAACTGGTAAAATAAGTGATTTCAGTTTTTGATCTTTTTAAAGCTTTGAGATGTTATATGATATTCTTATACTGATTCATTCAAATGAATTGTTTGTAATTAATAGTGAATCATTTTATTACAGTAGTTGTATTTGAGATTTTGGAGGGATTTAAGTGCATGGTTTGATAATTTTAATTTAAAATGTTTGATATTATTCATAATTTATGAATTTCAGCCTTAAAATTTTTTCAAAATGGATTCTTAGGTGGGATGCTTTACAATCGTGAATAATGGAGCAGCCAGTAGCGAAACCCAAGTATGGTGGCTGAACAATCAGAAGAATTTGAAAAAATACAGCTTGGCCCTTTTCCGATTGAACAATTACAGGTACAATTGTCAAATTTTTCCTCATTTTTCTCTCATCAACTTGATAATTACCTCTTAATAATCTGGAATTTCTTCATTTTCTATCAATTTTATCTCAACTCCATCTCTTAATCAGTTAATCCCACCCCTCTCTCTCTCTCCACCACCACCGCAGCGGCAACAACAACAGCCCCAACAACAACACCTGCAGCGGCAACAACAACAGCCCCAACAACAACACCTGCAGCGGCAACCACAACAGCCCCAACAACAACACCTGCAGCAACATCAACACCAGCACCAACCACTGCCACCGCAAGACCCACCACCGCACCACATGCAACACCTACTACCATCACACATGCATCCTCCGCCGTAGTACAAGCAGCACCCGCCGCTTCCTCTGCAGCACCAACAGCATCCTGGAATGGACTTTCACCGGGGCCCACCTCCACCTCCTCTTCCTACTATGATGCGACATTCTTCTTCTTCTTCTACTAATCTCCTCCCGATTTTCATCACCCTCAACAACCTCCTCAATGTAATCTCTCTTCTCAAATTGTTATACTACCTCCGTTACAGGTTATGTGCAACGATTAGACATTTTTCCTCTCTGCTTTATGTCAAATCGTTGCACATAACCTGTAACAGAGGTAGTATATTCGAGATTTGGGTACTCAAATTTATGAATTGGGGGTTTAAGGGGTTGATTGAATTGTTTGGGTTACTATTAGATTTTTTATTTATATAATATATGGTTATAATTGAAATTGATGATTAATTTGAGGTGGGTTTTCTTTTAATTTTGTTACCCTTTTGATTTTGGAAAATTGATTCGAGTTTATGCTCAAACTATTCATTTGGGAGGCTTTTATTGATTTTTCACTATTTTCAGAGCTATTTGGGATAATTTGTTACCCTAATTAACACCATTTCTTGATGACTTCTCTCTAAAATTCGAATTATCAGTGATTATCTATGAAATTTAGAGTTTTGACTATCAGTGATTGCCAATTTGCCATAGTTTGGATAATCTTTATATTTTATACAAGTTAAGGGAGGACGACAGTATTAGTTTTGCGCAGTTTGTTATGCTTTGCTTTTTATTATCTTGTTTTCGATTTCTACTGGACTCTCACAGCTCGGGGTTCGTTTATTTTACATAGTTAGCTGCGCTTGCTGTAATTATCTGCTGTCTGACATTGTTAATATTCATTGTTTAAACAGATTAGGGATGAGCTGAATGCTGAATCTGTTGTTGTAAAAGATGCTTACAGTGATGATCGGCATGTTAGGTAAATTGCTTATGCTTTGTTTTAATTTAGATTTTTAAGTGGTAAATTTGTCATTTCTGCAATTTACGAAATGGCCGAGATTTTGGATAGGATTCTTGAAACACCATCTGAATTTTTGCTTAGAAAGAAAACAATGGTTATTAAGGCTCTTTCGTATATCTATGTGGGCACTTTATTAAGGAAAGGAAATGCATATGATTGTTTGATTTGTGGCTCTATCTGCTTGAGGTATTTCATGACCTGCTGGAAATGTAAAGATAGGTTGCATGTTGCCTTTGAATGTTGAATATATATATTTGGGTGATCAGTTATAAATTTGATAGTCTTGGACTCTTGGGTGCCATTGACATGATTCTTAAATTTGTTTGCAGGTAAAGAGAAGTCACCACTGCTTGGTTATAATGGAGGAACTAGATTCCCGCTGTGTGATGATGATGGTGGCGGAGGTGGTACTTGGAGTGGCGGGTTCTTCTTGACGGACCCTATCAGAATTTTAGACGGAGATAAATGGTTGCGGTCAAGTATCTTTATGTAGTTACTATCTTGCAAGTCTTTTACGCTCTGATTATACGGTCCACATAGTAATTTTCTGTAGCTCATGGGGTGATTCCCATGACAAAACGACGTATTTACAACTCTTTTAGAAGCAGTACAGGTGAACAAGAATGGGCTACTAATTAGGCATTACATCAGTAAGAGATTTTCTTGTGACTTAAGTTATATACTTAAATATGTGTCCTTGTTTTCTCAGGTAATCAAGCCCACTGTGTTGATAGGTACTTCTGGAAAGGGAAAGACATTCACTAAGGAGGTGGTTGAAGCCATGTCATCTATCAATTCGGTACCATTCTACTTTCATTTATGTTCCTGCTTTTTTGTAGAGGTGACACAAGTTTAGATGTTTTGGGTTTGGGGCCACATTTTTGCGATGATTTACTTAGTTTGGCTTTGGGTCAGATCATTTTTGGGTCCATTGTGACATTAATTTTTGAGTTGGGTCAGGTTGAGATGTTGGGTAAATTTCAGTCAGATCAAATATGGGTCATGTAATACCAAGTAATCTGGGACGGCGCAGTTTTGCTATATCTGGTTGTAAGATTAACATGGTGTGTTCATGTGGTTGTCTGTGCAGAAACCACTCATCCTTGCTCTATCAAATCCTACATCACAGTCAGAATGTATGCTGAGGAGGCCTACACATGGAGCAAGGTAAATTACCGTTTTTGTATGCCTTTTCAATTCTCAGTTCTCACCTGTAATTCTTTCTTTTCTACAAGATGAAACTGACATAAATATGGCTTTATTCTTTGAAATGATTTAGGGCAAAGCAATATTGCTAGTGGAAGCCCATTTGATCCAGTCAAATATTGTTCCTGGCCAGGTCTAACCTGCATCCACTGCCTTGTTTTTTTAGGGACCCTCTCTATCTAGATTGATAGTTAACCTTTAATTGTCATGTTGCAGGCAAATAATGCTTACATATTCCCTGGTTTTGGTTTGGGTCTAATAATGTACGGTGCAATTCGTGTTCATGACGACATGCTTTTGGCTGCCTGTAAGTGCCCCACTGACACTGTAAAAGTTTAAACTACAAATTTTTATTTCTTAATTTGTGATTGAGCCAAAGTCATATAGCCTCTGCAATTCTTCTTACAACTATTCTTGTAGAGCTGATCATGGACTGTTCCGTGGTCCAAAAAATCAGGCCGGGCTGCATTTTGGCCAGGAAAGTACTGCTGAAAATTGATAAAATCGGGTAGGTTGGGCTGAAGTAGGTAACATACTCCCCATGAAAAGTCCAATCAATTGGGCCAGCAGACATTTCCAGGAAGGAAAATTCTGTGAACACTGACTGAGTCGGACAGGGCCAGTTTTGATCAGCTCATCTTCTTCCTATTTTGGAAGATATTTTCACTAGGCCTTTCAGAAATGTTTGTAAAGCATATTGAAACCATTTTATCCTATGATTTTTGTTATCTTTCTCGACGAAGAATAAGTAAAAGTAACTCTTTTTCAATCTGTATACAGCTGAGGCATTGGCTGCACAAGTTACAAAAGAGCACTTAGCGAAGGGACTTATCTATCCGCCATACAAAGACATTAGAAATATATCTGCTAATATTGCTGCCAAAGTAGCAGAGAAGGCTTATGAACTCGGTGAGCCATTACTTTTACTGTCTGATATATGAAGAAATACCTGGATCTTCTCGAGTTCTTGCAATCCGCTGACTATCCATCTTATTTTGTGTAGGTTTGGCTAGTCGGCTTCCACAGCCAGAAAACCTGGTAAAATACGCTGAGAGCTACATTTACAGTCCTAATTACAGAAATTACCGTTGAAGAATGAGGATTATGAATTTCCCTGCAGTTTTGGATCTTCCGTGACTTGTGCTTCTTAGTGTTAATACTTTTGTAATCTCTACTTTCTACTCCGGCTTATTTTCTGCATACATTCCTTTCTTGAATGTCTGCAGATAATATATAGTGCTATGCATTGTTATACGAGTATTGTATCTACTGGACCTGCTATTAGTTTTTAATAAATCTAGCCAGTATAGTGAACTTGGAATTATCAATGAAATCATTATTTTGCTCAAAACTGTTTCCTGCTGCTGATTTTTTGCTTTTATCAATTTAGACTTTTTATCAAACCTCTTCGAATGCAAATCATGAGAATCTGTTACGTTGGGTGTAAAAAGAATAAGATGGGGCAAGGGTGTATAATAATCATGCTTGTAATTTATACATAGAGACGAAATTAATTCTTGTTAGTTGTTATAAAAGGTGTATATCAGCCCCATAAAGCACACATTACAGCTAATATCCATATGTTTATTACTCATAATTTATGAGTACAACTTTGTAATTTTTACATGTATGAGCATCCTGTGAGTTCAGACCCTGGGCCAGTTTGCTGCATCAATGCAACAACTGAAACAGAGCTTGAAGCTCCCTTGTTATAGGCCATGGAGGGAAGTGGGATAATGTGGGGCATGACTCGATCAATCAGGTTGGACAGATACAGTTGAGAAGCCAAGGAATGCTTGGCATATTGTCTCTCTCTATAAGTCTATAGACAAATCCTCTATGTATATTAATGTGATACGTTCCATAGTTATTCCATAATGTATCATAGTACTGTATTATTTTTCACAATCTTTTATCTTTTGGGTCGAACAACAACGCTTACAAACTATATCAAATTTGTTAGGCATAAAAAGTGAATGCTGAATAGCTTGTAGCTAACTATGATTAAAATCATCAATGTTGCCACTAAGTGTTAAGTTATGTTTACCTCACGGTCTCACATACAAACCTTTATATTTCGGATATCGATTAGATTTTTGAAATTTTGAAAATCAATTTTCAAATCTGCATTCGATGTTTTTCGGAATGAATATTGGTTCTAAATGAAAATTTCAATCAATTCAATTCCTTGTTATATCTAATATCCATATATAGACATTCCCATTTTCCAACATTGATTTAGAAAATGTTTTTACTTATTTGAACTTAATGAATCATTTAGATGCAATTTAAAAAAAAAAAAAAAAAATCAGAACACCAACATTATTATTAACAAGCACGTCCTACATCACGTTTTACCATTTGGAGCGCGCGCATTAGAGATAAACCAAGATATATAAAAGCGAAAGGGGAGAGTGAGAGAGGGGAAGGGGCTATGGAGAGAAGGATCAAGTGCAACCTATAGTTGCCAAAGCCTTTTAGAGGATGGTATAAGGACAAGTCATCTAAATAGTAGCACATTTAACATAAAAGTTAAACATTATGGTAGAATTGTGGTAGAATTATGGCACATTTAACATAAAAGTTAAACCACGCCGTGTGGCAGGGGTTACCCAAGTTATTTTGTTATGGGTTATCCGAGTTATGCAGTCAGAGTTTACTCGAGTTACTCGATCAAGGATTACTTGTGGGTTTCAAATAGGGGTTACTCGAGAGGTTCACTCGGTTTAGGGTTACTTGAGGGGTTACTTCATCAGGGGTTACTCGAATTACTCGGTCAAGGATTACTCGAGGAGTTTCTCATTCATGGGTTACTCAAGTTACTCGGTCAGGGGTTACTTGAGTTACTAGGTAAGGGGTTATTTAAGGAGTTCGGTCAGGGGTTATTTAAGTAATTCGGTAAGGGTTACTTAAAGAGTTCGGTCAGGGGTTACTCGCTCAGCGGTTACTTGAGGGTTCATTCAAGGGTTACTTGAAGAATTACTTGGTTTGGGGTTACTCGGTCAGAGATTACTTAAGATGGAGGAGGAGAGGAAGGGGAAATGAAGAGAAAGGGAAAGGGAGGTGGAGAAACAAGGGCCAAAATCGAAAAAATCATCGAGAGAAAGAAAGGGAACTAGGAAAGCAAAGGGTTTGAAGAGAGAGACGAAGAGGGGCTAAGAAATAGGGTAGACTGAAAGATAGTGATACCATTTCAAAAGAGATAAGGGGTAGGATAAAAGAAGGGATAAAGGCCAGAGAATTTTTTTTTGGAAAAACATAGGAGAGATAGAAATATGGGTTATGAAGGAAAGAGGATGAAATAGAGAGAAAAAAGATATAGGGATAGGAGAATTGCAAGGGGGTTAGAAGAGAAATAAATAGAGTGATAAATAGGGAATAGAACTAAGAGAAAAGGATAGAGAAAGAGTATATGATATAATAATAAAAAAAAAACGAAGGAGAAGGCTCGAGAAGAGAGAGGGAGTAAGTGCGACCTATAATTTTCGATTATTGTTTTATCTTTTCTCACTTATTTGATCTCGATTTTGTCACAACATATATTATCAAACAACAAAGTTTTTGTGTTGTAAGCTACATCGTATCGTAGGGGTTACTCGAGTTATTTTGTTAGGGGTTATCCGATTTATGCAGTCCAGGATTACTCGAGTTACTCAGTCAAGGGTTACTTGTGGGGTTCAGATAGGGGTTACTCGAGAGGTTCACTTGGTTAAGGGTTACTTGAGGGATGACTTGATCAGGGGTTACTCGAGGATTTACTCGGTCATGGGTTACTCGAGTTACTCGATCAGGGGTTACTCGAGTTACATGGTAAGGGGTTATCTAAGGAGTTCGGTCAGAGGTTACTTGGTCAAGTTACTTGAGGGTTAATTCAGAGGTTACTTGAGGAATTACTCAGTCCGAGGTTAGTCGTTCAGAGCTTACTTAAGATAGAGGAGGAGAGGAAGGGAAGAAGAGAAAGGGATAAGGAGGTAAAGAAACAAGGGCCAAAATGTAGAGAATCATTAAGAGGGAGAAAGGGAACTAGAAAAGCGAAGGGTTCGAAGAGAGAGACAAAGATGGGATAAAAGATAGGGCAGACTGAAAGATAGAGATACCAGTTCAAAAGAGATAAGGGGTAGGCTAGAAGAAGGGGTAAAGGCCGGGAGAAAAAAAAGTTAGAAAACGTGGGAGGGATAGAAATATGGGTTATGAAGGAAGGAGGATGAGATAGAGAGAGGCTAAAAAAATATACAGGGACTGTAGAAATTCAAGGGGGTTGGAAGAGAAATAAAGAGAGTGATAAATAGGGAATAGGACTGAGAGAAGGACAGAGAAAGAATATATGATATAATAATAAAGAACGAAGGAGAAGGCTCGAGGGAGAAAGAGAGAGAGGGGGAGTAAGTGCGACTTATAATTTTCAATTATTGTTTTATTTTTTCTCACTTATTTGAACTTTATTTTGTCAAACAATATATTATCAAACAACAACTTTTTGGTGCAGCAAGCCACACCGTGTGGCAGGGGTTTTTGAGTTATTTTGTTAGGGGTTATTCGAGTTATGCAATCAGGGGTTACTCGAGTTACTCAGTTAGGAGTTACCGTGGGGTTCAGATAGGGGTTACTCGAGAGGTTCACTCGGTTAAGGGTTACTTGAGGGATTACTCGACAGGGGTTACTCGAATTACTCGGTTATGGGTTACTCAGGTTACTCGGTCAGGGGTTACTCGAGTTACTAGGTAATGGGTTATTTAAGGAATTCAGTCAGGGGTTACTTGAGTAATTCGGTCAAGGTTACTTAAAGAGTTCGGTCAGGGGTTACTTAGTCAGCGGTTACCCGAGCGTTCATTCAGGGGTTACTTGAAGAAATACTCAGTCCGGGGTTACTTAAGATAGAGGAGGAGAGGAAGGGGAGAACGAGAGAAAGGGAAAAGGAGGTAGAGAAACAAGGGCTACATAAACAGGAAGAGGCGATAAACAGAAAGGGAAAACGCCCCATAATTAACATTCACATTAGAAAATTATTGCTACATAAACAACAACAACATTATTGATCTATATATAACAATAACATAATTTTTGTGGATGCAACACATACTATGTCAAAATACAATAAATTAATTACACATTTACATTAAATGCAAAACAAAACTATTCCGATTCGCACGCGCGGAGGTCGTAAACCAGTAAAACTAAAAACAGATGTATTGGATAGGGAATATGGGTTTCTTAGTATTGAAAAAATAACAATTTTTTTTAAAAAATAAAATATTATTTGCGATGATACAGTTCCATAAAAACTTAAAAAATCTTGAACTAGTGTTGCATTTCTTCATGACATGCATGTATACTTTTGATAGAAATATGTAGCTCTTTGTTGACCTCAGAGTTAGAGTTAGCTGCAAAACAAAGGTTTGTTAATCTTTTTGTTAACAGTACCTGTTATCTGTCCTGGGATTCCCATTATGTTCTTAAAGCCTTGCTGGTGTTCAATGAATGATACAGAGTTGGATGGTGCTGTTTTTTTTTTTTTTTTTTTTTTTTTTTTTTTTTTTTTTTTTTTTTACTGGTTAATTTAACCTATCTTTCTCAAATATCAGCAGAGATGATAGGCAAATTGCTGTCAGCAAATATCCTGGAGCAGCACCAATGCCAAAGTTCTTTGTGCTATTAATGCTGCAAGGTTAGATCCCTGGACCGTGGGAGAAGATGTGGTGCCAGTCCTATTTGATAAAATCAATGGCCTATGCTCATGATGTGACTGCCTATCCAAGGGGTTTTTCTACCATTACCCCCACCGAGGCTGAAGAACATGTCTAAAATTCCAATACCAAGTTTGCTTCCTGGATATGGCATGGGTGGTATACTGGTATGTATGACACTGACAAGTGTTATAACACGCACTTGAAGTTTTTTACAAATATACTCCCAACAAGTATTTAACTGAGATTTTTATGATGGAAATTTATTTAAGCTGGATTGAAAATTGCCAAAGGACTCTAGTTTTACACTTCAAAAACTACTTGATAACTTCCAGGTCATAATCCAAACAGATGGACCCTTCAAGGCTGAAAAATGGTACAACAGCAGTGGCTTGGGTAGCTCTATCCTCAGTTATGGGATTCTTTGCTGCAGAAGGGACACAAAGAAGCAGGAAGTCAGGAACAGCACTACAAACTGAAGCAGCATCACTACAAACTGATCCAACATGCTTTAAAGCAATATGGAGTAAGGAATGAATTGGAAGGCTACAAGTATTCGAGGACTCCACAAATATTGTAGCAGGCTTCCATGCATAACATGATAAAACATCAATTGACATAACAAATACACTTAACCAAGATCAGAGAAGAGGGTAAAAATTGGGGAAGTTTTGCCTGATCAAAGTAGCCTTGCCTCTTGCCATTCAAGATGCTCTTATAAACTCAAAGAGTATATTTTTATTACACATTCTGAGTTGAAAGCCTTTTGACAACACCACCAAACTGCTAGGAGGCAGGAACACTTAACTTGCTTAACATATTCGTGTCGGACGCACGATCTACATACATGACACTTGGAAGATATTAAGTTGATACAAAAATTGATTGATGGTTTTTTTTTTTTTTTTTTTTTTTTTTTTTTTTTTTTTATTGAAACAAAATTGATCAAATTTGATTGATCACTTAATTAAAATATCATGTTAATAATATTGTTATGTGTACAATGAAGTTTATTTAAATTCCCTTTTTTTTTTATAGAGTAACATTATTTCATTAATACAAAGTAATGTGACATGAATTTTATTCAATTGTTTTTAGTAGAGTTAATTCGTTGATGAAAAAAAGTCATGTAACATTGATGAATAAAAAGTTACACTGCAAGTGCACGGTGTCTGTTGTTAGCAAAGACTTAGCAAATACGGGTCGAATCCCACAGGGAGACAGGTTCTATTAGTTTTTGCCCAATTATTATAAACTATTTCGATAAACGAAGAGTGATTTGATGATTAATTAACTAAAGAATGACAATAATGAAAATAAGGTTGTTCACAGATAAATTAAAGTCTAGGGCACATGTTCGGTCCACCATGCTTATACCAAACCAAGAAATGCAAACAATCCATTAATAAACAAACTAGGTCGAATAATTAAAGCACTTGTTAATACTACGGTTGGGAATTAACACTTAGAATTAACATATGTAGTTCGGTCGCTAACATAATCAAATTCGCCAATTGTAATTAAGCCTCTAAAAATATGATCTTTTAATTCTAATTTTTACTAGCTAAATAATTAATCATGACATTGGCCAATTACATGAATCAAACAATAAAGCACAAATCAATTGGAATTATTCAAACCCTAATTCATAAATTTATGAATAATTAAGCACAAATAATCATGGTATAAACATGGCTTCCCTCACTTAACCCTAGAAAATGACTACTCACGCATAATTGAAATAAACAAAATAAAAGAGATAAATAAACTTGAATTCATAATTATTAAAATAAATAAAGAACAAAAGATTGAATGAAAATACCTCAATGATTGAATTAATGGAGAATGAAAAGCTAGGGTTCAACAATGGAGAGAAAAAAAAAAACTAAGATGCGTTTAATCTAGAAAAATAAAGCATAAAGAGGAAAATAAAATCCTCTCAAGTATTTATATTAAAACCTAATCCTCAATGAAATAAAATAGATAAAATAAAATAAGGAAATAAAAGTAACAAAGGCTGTCTTTTAATTGGTCGCGAGAATTACGATCGACGAAAAACAAGTTTCCCGCACGACCCATCGCCCGATGGATGGCCGATGGTCGAGTGATCAAGGGCTGCGACGACGACCATCGGCCGATGGATTTTCCATCGGGCTAGGCAGATTCGAAGGGTCGTTTGTGCGGCTAAACCATCGCCCGATGGCTGGGCGCTTGCTGGCAGATTTGCAAGATCGATTTCGGAAGACTGTAAATCATAATCTAGGAATTGTATGAAGGCGTGCGACCTATTATTGGAAAGCTCTTCAAGTCTAGTTTCCAACCCAACTTGAATCACCTCAATCTGATCTGTAGAACTCGAGATATGGCTGAAACAATACACAAAGGTCCTTTTTGATACTTTGCAAGCCTTCGTTTTCCTTTGTTCCTAACTCAAATTCAATTCCGAAAAGTACATATCGATCCTTGTGGATGCTATTTTCAATTCCCATGCATATAATCCTTAGAGACAACATCCACGAGCATAAATCCCTCAGTCAATGAACTCGATCCATCTATTTCCATTCAAATATCATTCGAATCATCTCCAAACACTTCGAAAGCGTCCAAATGACTATGAAATCACCTGAAACATTAAGAAATACACAAACGGAGCGTAATAGAGCGATATATGATGACTTATGCAAATATGACCCTAGAATCGACCAAAAAGACTAAGAAAAAGGTATAAAAACTAACATAAAAGTTCCTAAGAACCCTATATAAATATGATTCATCAAACATCTACAAAAGGAATTCGTAGTCTTTTTAGTTTTTATTTATTAAAAATATTAAAGATAAAAAATACAGTTAATAAAGAAAGTAATTCACCTTTATTTTATACTCGTATAAATTTTACATTGGTTGTAAAATTACCAAAAATATGATAAAGGAAAAATTGCCCCTATTAATCCCAACTTTGCCTCGTCCACCAATAATTATACATACTTTCGATTATTCACCATTACCATTACTCCCAACTTTTAGGGGGATTAATTTCTATTGCATCCAAATGACTTGCAACCGGTCAAGCAGGTAAACATTTGTGAATTAGATTTTTTTTACACACTTGTCAATATGTAATTGGTTGAAAAAATAGAGAAAAAAAAATAAGAAAAAAAGAAAAATGTAGCAAAAAAAATTTAAATTTCCTAAAACTAACCCAGCACCTGCCCCACCTCCACCATCGACGCACACCTCCCCACCACACGCACTCCCTTCCTAGCCATTACTACCGGAAAACCATCACAGGCCTAAACGATCGTTTCCCCACCAAAATTGGCCACAAAGCAACCCCCTCCCAAAAATCGACCACGAAAATTGGCCACAAGTGGCCGAAATCGGCCAATGTTGGAGCTGAATGGTTGATTTCAACCCTAAAACCGGCCGATTTCGGTCGTTTGTGGCCGATTTTATGGCTGATTGTCATCGGTGGTTAGGGGAAAGGGGCGAAATTCGAGGGAGGGGAAGGGGATTTTTGGGGTGGGGGAAGGGAAGGGGTGGGTTTCGAGGGAGGGGGAAGACTAGGCGCCGTTTTCTGGCAACGGGGGAGGGGTTTTCGGGGATGAGGCCGATTATCCGCCTGGGTGGGGGTGGGGGTGTGGTGTTTCCGAGATAGGGGTGGGGGCTGGGTGTGGTGGCAGCTGCTGGGCATGGGTGGTTTTTGGGGTTTTTTTTTTTATTATTTTAAATTTTAAGCCAATAATAGGCTAACACGTGTATTGCAACCTGTAATATTAGGTTGGATGACCGGCTGGGTGTAATAGAAATTAATAGGGTATAAAGTTGGGAGTGATGGTAAATAATTGAAAGTAGGGATTATTATTGGCGGACGAGGCAAAATTGGGATTAATGGTGACAATTTTTCCTATGATCAAACTTATCTTGACATAACTAAGTGTTACCTACGTTTTTTTTTAACCGAACAAAGATGCTAATTAAAAAACAGTAAAAATCAAATCTAGTGTGTTTGCAATTCCCACTTTAAATTGGCTTAACTTACCCCGAGTTAAATAAGAGTTACCTTTGATTATTTCCCTTGTTTTTTTTTTTGGTTCATTTCAATTACACCTAATTGCCCTAAGGAAGGAACCCTCTCCGGCACTTGGACAGTTTGAGCACCATCGAATAACTTCACCATCTTGTCGCACACACACTGACAGGAGTAACGTCATCTTCCAAGATACTCTCTTTTGCTTTCATCAATTTTTTTTTTTGTGCCAATCTTTTACAAATCATGTGTTTATACTTATATATGAATTCCTATTTTCCGACATATGCCTTTTGTTATTTGATCATGAATTCATTAGATTTTTGTTCGGAATTCGTAATATTTTCGACCTTTTTAATACTCAAGTTATAATTTTGTTCAAAATCCTACTTGGGTTTTCCTTAACATGTAATTTGATTGTCATATTTGTATTTTCTGGGTATTATATAATGTTTTTGGGTATTTTGTGGCATAGTGCTAATTATTGCAGAGTGTAGCAAGAATTACATACAGAATTTGGACTTTATTTTGGGTATTTGATTTGAGTTGGTGTTTATCCTAGTCTTGTCTTCAATTGATTAAGCTTTGTGCTCTTGACCGGTAATCGAAATCTTAGTATTTCTTATATTTGTATTTCACTAGTTAAACACTTAAACAGCCTCTTTGCCTTCAAAATTGGAGGTAAGCTAAAGAAATATAGCAAATTGGGTACTTTAGTACTGTATGGATGGTCCATTTGTGGATATAGTATATGATAGTTGAATGATCTTTCAATTCCACGAAGTATCCTTTCTATTGAATTTCAATTTGATGGTCAAGCGGAAGCATTATGGCAAATTGGTGTTAGAGATATCGGAAAATATATGTATGATATATTTTCCGATATCTCTAACAATTGGGGACCTAATTACTTATGGTCAAGCCGAAGTAGGCTTTCTATTGAATTTTTGTTTAAATGTCAAGCTGAAACATTAAGGGAATTGGGGACCTGAGTGCTGCTGCCCATGTGGAGAGAGTATATGATAGCGCCTTGTCAAACTGATATGTTCCTTTGAATACTACGGAGTAGAATTTTGGGGAGATATTAATCAGCGGAGTTCTAAGTCTGCCCAAATTTTCTTACCTTCCGTGGTGACTCATAAGAATCAACTTGTTTGTGTACGACTAGATTATTCTTTTTCACTTTTCTATGTGAGGGTATTTTAGGAGCATAAGTACTTTGTTGATTTTGTATTATTCTTCATTTCTACTGTGAGGATTGATGATTACACTAAATAATCAAATTTGGTTCATGTAGCCGACCCCACTTATGGGATTAAGGTTTGGATTGATTGATTGATTGATACTGTGAGGATTGTTTTTTCTGTATTCAATAATATGGAGTATATCCTCTTTTCACTTTCTCTTGCAACGGGTCAGCAAGGGAAGGTGTGACCGATATGAGAAGATTTACACATCATATTCTTGAGGCCCTTCCCTACGAATATCTTCAGGAACAAAGTAAACCCATGTGTTGGACCTTGGTGGTTTTGTAATTGATTGCTTTTCTGCTAGATGCCAATATGCCATAGTACTGTATTCCTTATCTCTTCCATTCACTCTTTCTTTCCTTTTATAGAGATTCTGGTGGTTGGTGTTTTACTGTTTTTGTTCCAGTATGGTGACAAAGATCAGTAAGTTTCAGTGGAATATTGTGGTCAATTATAAAGAATATTAAGAGTGTAAGCTTGTCTCTTAGTGTTTGTGACGTACTTCGTTTGATATCCTTATTTTCTAGTCAAAGAACGGCATAATAGAGATATAGAATCACTGTTTTAAGATGGATGAATTGAGCATTGAGTACAAGCTACAAATGGAGAAAAAGCTTGTGCTTGAATGAGATCAGTGTTATTGCTCTGAAACTAATTTGGACATACTAATACATATTAATATGTTTTAATATGTGTAAAATGAGAGTTTGTTGCAGAAGCTTTGCTTGGCTGGAATGAGATCAGTGTTGTTGCTCTGAAACTAATTCAGAGGCAGTATTAAGCATATTTTTCCATTTGATATGGTTTTAATATTTTGGGGGAAATAATCTTGGAAGGATTTTAACTATAGCATCTTCATATCTGAAATTTATTGTGTCAAAAAAAAAAAAAAAAAGATTCTGAAATTTACATTAGGCCAAATAATATATTTCCCTCAGTATATAGTATATACTACGTATTAAGCTTTTGGATTTATCTTGTATCGTTCTTAGTATTTGATTGTATATAATGGATATTGTTGAAGAGATCAAAATGGCCTATTGACTAAGAAGATTCTGCAGTCTTTAGTTTGCATATTATGTTTCAGAACTTTGCGTGAGAACTTTTTTAGTCTTTGTGCTTTTCTAGATTTCTTACCCCTGATAATTATCTTCTGCATATATTTTGATTGATTGCAATATTCCTTGCTACTTCCTTCCTACCCCTCTTCCCATCTGTATAATTCAGTTCTCTCTTTGGGACTAATCATCTTTAAGACCACTAAAGCAAGATGATATGAATGCTATGACGAGAAACAAGTGAAGCTGCTGAAAATTTTCTTACTTATCTTAAACACTATTTAAGCGAATAACAGATGCACATATTCCTGTATTGATTGAGTGTTTATTGCTTGTTAGCTGATGGTGCATCTTACATGTTCCTGAAAATGGCTTGAATTTTGCTAATGTTGGGGAACAGCTGTTGTTTTGACTTCGTATATCTTTCTCAATATATCTGTCTTCTTTCCTAACTTATTAGGTTGTTAAAAAGCATCACCTGCTTTCATATAATGACAGAAGCCCTTAGCTCTGACATTAGCTCTGAAGTACATCCTGTTGAGGAAACTAAGCTGATTTATCGCTGTAAGAAATGCCGTCAAATTGTTGCTTCACAAGAGAGTATAAATTCACATGAGCAAGGTAAAGGAGAGGAAATCTTTGGATGGAGAAAGAAGAAGAGTGAGTCCAATTCGTTGCCTGAATGTTCTGCCATATTTGTCGAGCCTTTGAAGTGGATGCAACCAGGTAAGACCGTAAGAGTATTTATTATTAATTATTTTCAATATAGTAACCATGAATCCCAACTTTATGAATATGCTAAATTTGGTAATTTATTGTTACACCAGTTCAAGAAGGATATGTTTGGGAGAAGCTCTATTGCATGGGCTGCAAGTCTCGACTAGGTTCTTTCAACTGGGCTGGCATGCAATGTAGCTGTGGTGCTTGGGTTAATCCTGCTTTTCAGATTCTGAAAAGTCGAATCGATGAATGCCAAATATGAGTTGTGTTCATAACTACATAGTTGATACTTTGATTTAGTTGAACATAATTGCTTTGAAGCATGTTTGATGTGCCTATTGGATATGCTTCGTATATAAGTGCAAGGCTTTCAGTGATGCGCTCTGGTGATATGATGTTAATGCTACCACTAATGTTTCTCGTATATTGATCTTATTGTCAAATTCCGTGACTCTACTTCCTATTAATCGTGCCCATTAATTTTTACGTGATGACTACAATGACATATTGAGACGATGCCTATAATAACTCCAACAAAAACGGAAAAAAGTTGCAACAAACCATTTGTGTCATGACTAGTGTCAAGACTTTTAAGATTTTTGAGTAGAGTATATTGACTTCAAGGCGCTAGGTTGAAACTTTGAAATTTCTTTTATACATCTTTGTAATGGAAGTTTCTTTTATACTTTATACTTCTAACACCATCTTCATTAATTTTAACCATGAACTCAAAAAATAAACATTAAAAGAAAAAAAAGAGGACAAAATGTTGGACTTGTGGGCATCATTTTCAAAGGCAATGCAATAGTGATTTTTTTTTTTTTTTGTTTTTTTTTTTTACATACAAGTTAGGTGTAATATTAATTAATAATTCTAATAAGTAAACTTATTAGAAAAAATTGGTAAAAATAATTTCAAATTTTTACATATTCGCTTTAAATAATCTCAACTTAAGGGTGTATTCGCTTTTCTTTGGTCCCTAACTGGAATTAACCTATAATAGGTTAAGGTGACATGTGTCACCATGTGATTGGTTGAAACATAAAAAAATAAAAAAAACTTACATAAATTTTTTTTGAAAAAACTTAATTTTTTTTTTTTTTAAAAAAGAAAAGCTGCCTGCCTCCACGCACCTCCTTCGCCGCTACCACTATGGCGGCCGATACCCCTTTCCCTGCGCCGGCGGCTCTTCCTAGTTCCTACCCCTGTGTCAGCTCCCCTTCCCCCGAAAACCACCAACTCCGCCCACCATGAAACCCCCAAAATCCCTAAAACAATCTCCCCACCGCCTTCCCCCCACCAGCGGAATGGGGGGAAAGTCGTTTGGGGTTTTTTTAGCGGCGGGGAGGTTGTTTTTTGGTTTTTCGTGGGTTTTAGGGTGGGCGGGTGTGGTGGGTTTTGGGGAAGGTACGCTGGGAAGGGGAGTGCCGGAGCGGGGGAGGGGGGCTGGACGCGACGGTTTGGGGTGGGGGAAACCTGGGCTGGCCATGAGAGAAGGCTTCCAGCAAGTGGTGGGGGTCGTCGGGGATGGCATCCATTAGTATTGGCTTAAGTTTGTCTTTATTATTATTGTTTTCAATACAATAATCATGAATCCAACATTATGAAGATGCTAAATTTGGTAATCTATACTTAGTATTTAAAAACTATAACCAAGAAACTAAGAAAGACACATTTCCCCATTCATTCTACTACACATCTCTAACCATAGTGTCACATGTCATCTTACACAAGGAACTAGAAATGAAGGAAAGTTAGGCATTTACAAATGCATAACAAGGGGTATTCATGTAATTATACATATGTACAAACGAATGCATATTCTGATATCATTGGTTGATCAAATGGTACCACTGAATATACAGTGATACTATATATGCACATAATGGTATTATATATGCATTCCGTTGTACAAAATTTATGCATAAATAGTACTACTGAGAATTCAATGGTACCATATAAACTTTCAGTGGAACAATCAACATGTGGTCCCCCATCACGTGATACAATCCGACCAAAAAATAGGTGGGGTCCACATACATACCTCTCTCTTCCTATCTCTCTCCTCTTTTCTCTCTCTATCACGTGTTTTAATAATATTTTAATCAATGTTATGCATTTACAAATGTCTAACTTTCCTCCCTTTAAAATTCCTCCATCTTACACTATTAATTTTTTATTACACCATTTTTTTTAATTCTTTAACTACACTTATACTTCATCTTTCATAGACACTTTATCTCTCCCCTTTAATTCAACCTTTTCCCATTCTCTCTTTAATTTTAGTCCTTCCACCTTCTATTTAAGCCTCTTGTTTTCGATTAAAGTTCCAAAATTTTAATTTCTTTAATCATGTTTCCGATTACATATTATACCCTATAATGACTTAACTGATATTTCCTCACTTATCTCTCAATACAGTTTTTCCGATTACATATTATACCCTATAATGTCTTACTTATATTTCCTCACTTATCTCTCAATACAATTTTATATGAATAACCCGTGCATTGCACGGGCCAAAAAACTAGTTTATTTTTACACCAGTTCAAGAAGGATATGTTTGGGAGAAGCTCTATTGCATGGGGTGCAAGTCTCGATTAGGTTCTTTCAACTAGGCTGGCATGCAATGTAGCTGTGGTGCTTGGGTTAATCCTGCTTTTCAGATTCTGAAAAGCCGAATAGATGAATGCCAAATATGAGTTGTGTTCGTAACTATGTAGCTGATACTTTGATTTAGTTGAACATAATTGCTTTGAAGTATGTTTGATGTGCCTACTGGATATGCTTCGTATATATGTGTTAAGGCTTTCAGTGATGTGCTCTGGTGATACGATGTTAATGCTACCACTAATGTTTCTTATATATTTATCCATCTTATTGTACTTATAACTTTACTAGATTCAAATTCTGCGACTCTACTTCCTATTAGTCGTGCCCATTATTGTCTACGTGATGAATACAACGAGATATTGAGACGCCTATGTTAACTCCGAGGAATGATGGACCACTACCCGGTATAGGTCGAGTCGCCAAATACCAAGTGACATCTTTTATTTATTTATTTTTTGCTTAAGGTAAATAACAGTACTTAATAAATAAATAATAGTATTAGATAAACTAATAACAGTACCTTGATTTAAAATAACAGTTTACACAGATTATTACTATAATTCGATTTGATAATTTATATGACTTTTATTGGTACTAGATGTAACACCCCGACTTTTAATCAGCGTCACTGGACCGTATATAACTCGTCATTCACAGCGGAATTAATTAACCATAGATAAACCATTCTTTACTCATCATACTAAGCGGAATCAATTATATATAGATAATCTCGTAGCCACCTGTGGATTATGGGCCTACAAATAAACATACTCCTTAACGAGAATATTCAATAAAAAAAATACAACTCCAGTCTTCCTTACTGTGATAAAATAATCAATCTATCTCAGCTCTCGATGATCCATAATACATAAGCCTTGATTCCATAATCCCTAAACTAACTAAATTCCTTTAATCCCTTTGCTTTTGATTAATTTCAGCTCTGTCATCATTATTCCTGTAATTATGCATAAAAATAGAAAACAGAGAAAACACAGGAAAATCCAAAAATGATTTGAAAACTCAATAACATTACTCTAGCCTGTAAAAACAATTTTTCTTTCAAAATCATTTGAGCATATATCATACATACATAGTTGTTCAGAAATAATCTAACATCATTAATTTTAAAAGCTTTGTCGGCAAGTATCATTCCCTTTATGTAAGATCATAGGTAAGTACAGGTTTTGGACATAACATAACTTTCATTCGTGTGGGAATGTTTCCCCCTTTAATTAACATACTTTCCTCCACCTGTAACTCGCCTATTTTCAACGTTCAGTTCACTTTCTAATGCCGACAAAAGTTTCATCTATCTTATCATATTAAATCATTTCAGAACAACTTTACACTTCTAAAAATTCATAGCACATTGACACATATCATAGTCATTAATTCATAACACTTAATTGAATAAAGTAATCATTAGCGTTAAACATTTAACAGGGGCTTAACATAACAGCTCACTTACACATAATTTATAAATTAATAAAATAACTAGAAATACATGTCGTTCATAGCATTCTTATTACCTTGTATGATGTTAAGATATCTTTATGAACTATCGTACATATCAGTACATCGTAAAACTCATCAATAGAGTATCATTGTGAGTTCTCATAAGTCCTTTAATAAAATTCATGTATTCGTAATCTTTTTGGTGGACATGCTAGTCGCTGGACAGTATGACATGGCAGAACGTCTTCCGCGATGGGCCGGTGCCCATAATATAGAGCAGTGCTCGACATAGTTGGGCTGGTGCCCCATGGGTACATGCATTGCATGACCGAAACATAACATATACGGACTAGGTCTTTCACTTTTATTTATTATGTTGTGTATCTTTTAATAAGTTATTCGTAGATTATTAACATACTTTTGAGAGATCCGCAAATCAATTGAACATTGTATATATAAAATCATTAATATAAATCATAAGGCTAAAATACATCAATAAACATGTTTATCATATCATAAGTCATTAGAAATATATACAAGGATATAAAAGGTCATGTCATGTGATGTCATTTGCACATAACACACTTTTAAATCATAACATGCTAAACATATCATACAGACATACATGTTATACAGCAACATGCCATTTAAGATTACACACGTGCATTCACAATAACCAGACATAATTGACACACATACGGCACTAAACACAGTTGCTAGACATATATAATAGTTACATATACATGAGTATACACAATTGCTAGACATAATGATTACCTCATTTGATCATCCTTAATCATCTCACTTAGCTTGTTCTCCAATAATCATCATTCGAACTCTCAACCTCCGTCATTAATTCCTCATCGTCATGATTTATTCGATCATACCCAAAAATAATAAATACTCATTAATAACTTCTTAATTCAAAACCTTTGATAAAATAAAGTATAAACTTATTTTTAGAGAACAAAACAAGTGGTACCTCATTTTGAGTAAAATGAGCATTACTTTAAAAATAGATAGTACTACTATTCATATTAGTAGAAAATATTACTATAAAAACTTTAATTTAGAGAACTCTCAAATTGCTTTGGTATTAAAACTCATTTTTAGGAAGTTGAATATACGAATTACATAATCATCAATTCCTTGTGCAAAATAATATTAGAATATATACAAACACTACACTTTTAAGAGTAAAATAAGAACAAACATAGAACTTAGATAGCAAACTACTACTATATTTTAACATCATTTTCTTATTATCAAAATATCTACATAATCGTTTTCAAAGAAAGTAAAAAGTTTGTATCTCAGATAAAGGATAAACTTATAATCAAAATAAGAGCAACAAAATTAGCTCACTTTGGTTTCATGTGTACAGAGTAGTCTCAAAGACCATTCTTAGTTTCACCAAGCATGCCATGAATGGAGGAAAGAGAAGAGTACACGTGGCTGCGGTGCGTGAGCTTGGTGGCAAGGGAAAGAGATGACCACAACCATTTCAAGCAAAGGAAAGAGCGGTGATAGCCGTGTGGTAGTGATGGACGGTAATACGTTAAATATATATGGAGTATTATTATTCCAAGAACTTGAAAGAAATAAAAGATAGGGATCATAAGATGAAGTTTGTTAAAGTGATAAGCTTGAGTATTAGGTAACCAATTATAAGGAAGCAAAATGTGACTTCGGATCATCAATTCTTAGCCGTGAAGGAGTGAGATAAGCTCTAGATTGAGCTAAGCATAGTCAATCAACTTTGATTGGTTTGCCCAAATTAAGAAACAAGTAAAAAGAACAAGCAAAATTGAATTTGGTCTTCATAAACCATGAAGAATAAAGGGGTGAAGGGAAGAGGTGGGTTTTGTCTTCTTATTCCCTAATAAATTGAACAAATGAAAGAAAAGCAAATGGCTTTCAATCCCCATTTCTTAAGCGTGAAGGAGGAGAAGAAATAAGAGTTGGTGTTTGTCAATTTTTATGAGTAAGAATATTTTGGTGATTTTACAGTCTCGGGTAAAAATACAGATTTTAATGAAAAATCACTAAACAACAAAAGAAAAATATTACTTGACCCGAAATATATTTTAAAATAAATAACTTTCCTTTCGTAAAATTAGCTTCCGAAATGATCTAATCTTATAATAAAATTTAAGACTAAAACATTCTTAATGGTTAAAATAGAGATTAAAACTTAATCAAGCTTATAATATAGATTAGAATATAATAAATCATGTTTTTAAATCTCGGGTATTACACTAGATATCACTACTTTACTACTTATGTCTTAAACAAATTAGCTTTTATATTTAATAGTCCACCATGCTTTGCAATATAAAATGTTTTACTTAAGAGAGTTTTGACCAATACCTGAACTTAGTCGACAATGGAACTTCCGGCGTTCTTAGCTTCCGGCTTTACCAAGGTAGCTAACCCCAACCCCGTCTTCCTTAGATCAGGCATAGCACAGAACTAATTCGTTTCCTACCTTAGATCGTAGTCTCTATTCAAACAATCTTTATTGTATTTGTGATGGTACTTTTTAAACATAAAACTAACTCATTTGTGACATAAGTTTTGAGAGGATAAACGTTCCCTTTCGAAAGGAAAATTTTATTTAATTTGAAAATATTACAACACTATTTCTTACAGAATTAAAAACCGAAAGTCTAAACAGACATGACAAGAAATAGAGTTTTTCTCTAGTTTAAGAGAGATGGAAAACCAATCTATCTCTTAAGGTGAGGATTTTCTCTAGAGAATTCTTTTGTTTTCAGAAATGCTCTAGCAAACTCACTTCAAGCCTGCCTTCACTTCTTTTCCTAATTCCCTTTATATAGGGGAAGGCTTACAAAAGTCACCGACACTTTCTATGGCTTACAGAAGACTATGACTCAGCAAGTGAATATCGTTCACTACTTTCCTAAAGTTTTTTTTAGAACAAATAAAACGTACTTCAACAGTAAAAGTAGATTACATTATTGCTGGTGTGGGCTCAGGACTCCATCATATTTTGTAGACCACCTTTGTTGTCCTTACACTCTTCATAATGGACATACGTTTGGTTGTCTTCTTCTATTCCGAGATCCATCACACATCTGGCATCATAGGATTCATCCCATGTGACAAAGATCTCAAATAAGTGCTCTCTTCCCTCTAAGGATAAATATCTCCTATATTCAACTTGTTCAAGATAATCATACACTGATTCACCATGTATTACTCCTTCTTCTAAATAATTTTTTAACCATTCTGGTGCCACTATTGTAGTATTTCCCACATGTATTATGACTGGTGGCTCTTACTTTATTGCTATAAATTGGTTAAGATACTGGGCAGTATAGAAAAATCCATATGCTCTAGCCTCAGTAGGATCCCTTACTCGTCTCTGCTGGATACAGATTGGATCTTTGACTTTGCGATAAACATCTTCAAACATGATCAGGAAATGTGGAGAGCTAACTTTTCCTTCCACCATTTCAATGTTTGCACTTTGTACTATGACTTGTTCAACTCTTCCTTTGTATCTTGTTGCATCATAAATTCTCCTAAATACATGCTTCTGGAATTTTGTGAGTTTCTCAAAAAACGTAGTATTATTATCAGGAAATGGCATAATACTATGAACCATCCCATAATCCCAAACTCTGTAGTGCTCCGCTACATAAGGTGTCCTCCATTCTGGTGAATGTGGATGAATTGATACAATACCCACTCTAGAATTAGTGTTGAACATTATTCTACTTCCCCATAGATCATAAAAATCATGCAGCTTGTATGACCTTGACACAACTAAATTGTACCAGAATTTGAAATCGTTATCTATTATTTTATTTAGTATTATATCCTGAACATCTGCAATGAGTCGTAGGATAATTACCATTACTTCGTACATTAGGAACCTTCGAACTGCTGCATGACAACTCTTAACAAACCATCTCGAGATGTCTTTTTTGATGAAACAATCATGGCCTCCATCAACGCCCAAGTGGAAGGTGAAACCCGCTCCATTGCTTTATTTGTTTCTTCAATAAGAGTTTTTCTCTCTGCCTCCATCTTTTCTAGTTGATGGGCAGGAGGTTTTTCTGATGTCTTGTGCTTCTTCGCTGTTGGCTAATTCTCTGGTCAAGCTATCTTCCAAAGAATTCTTTGATCCTTGTATATGTTCAACAGTAAAAGAGAATTGGTTAAGCCATAATTGCCAACGCAGGAATCTCCCTTGCGCTTGCATATTTGACAAATTCTTTTTAACAAAACCAAGTATGCCTTTGCAATCTGTTCTTATTAAGAACTGTTTAAGGGCTAAGAAGATTAAGAACTTCTCGATCCCTCTAATAACTGCAAGGATTTCCTTTTGCATGGTAGGATAATTTAACTCAGCTTTATTAAAACTTCCACTGCTTCTACAGAGTCTTTCTCCTTCTTTGACTTTTAATATAGCACTCCACTGCTCATTACTAGCATCTGTTTCAAGAATCAAATCATCTTCACTAATAGGTAGTGTTAGTATAGGAAGATCTTTACACATTGCTTTAAATTTTTAACAATTTTAGAATCACTTTCTTTCCAGTTCCAAGCTATTTCTTTCTTGAGTTTTTGTTGTAATGGTTTTCTTAATAGAGCAAGATTTTTTATGAAATCAGAAGCATAAGTTAAACATCCTAGAAATCTTTCTAGTTGTTTTCTATCTTCAATCTTATCTGGGAATTTTTCGATCTTTTCTAGGATATGTTTTTGCAATATTATTTGTCCTGATTTAATCTCTAATCCTAGAAACACAATTTCTTGTTTATCATATACACATTTATCTTGTCCAAGGATTATACCATGCTCAGCACATTTTTTATCTGAGTTACCGCTTTAACATCATTCTTATGTTGTTCTAAATCTTTTGAGAAGATTAAAATATCATCTATGTAAACCAAACAACAATGATTAAGTTCTCTAAAAATATTATCCATTCTTCTCTGAAATATTTGTGGAGCATTTTTTAATCCAAAAGGCATTACTAACCATTCATAATGCCCTTGAGGGGCACTAAATGCAGTTAATGGAATACTTTCTTCTTCCATTTTAATTTGCCAATAGCCACTCTTACAATCCATCTTAAAAAACCATGTGGCTCCTTGAATTCTATTAAATAACACAGTTTTATTAGGAATGTAATAGCCATCAAAAACAGTATTGTTGTAGACACCCACTTGTGTCTTCCCAAAACCAAACCCGGTGATGAGTACCTTTCACGTCGAATCATAATCGAATGAAGAGAAAGTGTCGGAAGGTTTAGTGTTGCGGAAAGTTTTAATTTCTTTTCTCTTCTCTCTATTTTTGAAAACTTATTTTAAGAAAACAGCCAATCCAGTTTGGTTGGTCCATGATATGTGTCCAATAATAGTGTAGTTGGATGGGGCTTGACAAGAGCTTTCCAACGATATATTATAAGCCCGATTCCGATTATTCATCAATAATGATGAATATTGAGGAAGTTATGGCCAATTTACTAAACTAGGCCCGGTTTGAGCATTATATACGGCCCAATGATCTTGAGGAGGGCCTAATATGATTTATCATTCCTAATGCAATTAGGAATGGTTTTAGTCTTCTAGAATCTTCTAGAAGGTTCTTTTCATTCCTAATTCAATTAGCATTGATAAATTGACTTTTGTTGACTTTTCAGAGTTTTAATCAAAATCAAATAGCATTTTCGAGGAAATTATATGATTTTATCCTCCAGTACGGCAAATTTGTCTGATTTTCGAAAATACCTAGCCATATTCGAAGTTGCCTTCGCCCTAGACGTGAAAGGTTTTACTTTCTGAGGGTTTGGTCCCAAATCTCTATTTCAATTATTTAATTTAATTGTTTTGATTATTATTTTCTTTGAAGTTACTAACGTGTGTATTTTGTTATTAGAAAGAGGTACGAGGCATCAAAGTAAGTGCTTTAATGGTTTTTATTGATATTATGATGTAGAAATCATGTTTATATTATTATTATGATATTCCTAGTATCATGTCTAGGGTAATTTTAATATCAAATATGCTTATTATGATTCCTACGATGCCTTTTATGTTCTTCCTAATATTTATGATTGTTAGTATCATGTTAGGGTTAATGATTTGATTTTTATTGCTTAGTGACATGCTAGGGTTTGTTATTAATCTTGTTAGTATCATGCCTAGGATCTTGCTATTATTATTATGCTTTAATATTAACATGAACATGATTATTTTTATAATTGTTATAATTTATGATTATTATTATTATTATTATTATTATTTTATTGTCATGATATTGATGATTTATTGTGTTGCTTGATATTTTATATTTTATTGCTTGATCACGCCTTTTATGCATGTTAAAGGGAATTGGTACTTGTAATCACGCTTAATAAGATAATTAATAATCTTGTTTAGGGTTAATATTATTATAATTCAAGTGATCGCCAATAATAGATTTATTTGTGCATTATATTCAACCAACATAGATAAACAGGTTAAGGGTTAATCCTATTGATTGCATGTTAATCAGAAAGCGCACATGAATACGATCAGAATAAAGTAGAGGCCTATTATTAAGGCAGGTTCAATCTCTTTTAGGTTGGATTTGTACCTTCATCCCCGAACCCTTATTTGGTTCTAGACCTTATGGATTTGACGATCTCTTGGATCGTTAAGGGGTGTAACCTTCACCTCGTGAACGGTTTACAAGTTCTTAAAACTTGTTGGCGACTCTTTTGCTCTATCTTCTTCCCTTTTGGACGCCACCGTACTTTAGTGTATGATCACAGTGGGGTTCAAGTTAGTGGGATTTAAGGCTTGAAATTATTCCCTACAGTTTTTGGCGACTCCACTGGGGAGGATTTCTATTTTTATTCCTGAATTTGTTTCGGCAATGA